CAATTCGCCAAGCAGCGAACAGAGTATTTCGATTCCAAATGCCAAACACTTGCTATAAAATGGAAAGATTCGATCGCAGTTCGCTGGACTACAATTCGTTACAGCTACTCGCATCGAACGGTGATCGCCGCGTTTCGTAAAAGTGGATTCGGTGGGCGATAGTCGGTCCTCTTAAGGACCGTCACGTTCGATCATCGTGACGGCTTTGTCTTCGTGCGACCGGTGTATCCACGGCAGTCACTTTAATCCGCGAAGTTGCAGCCGATTAGCATTCACGGAGGCAGCTCGGTCTTTGTTGTGTCGACAGTCAACCTGGACCCGGAATCGCGGGATCGTGCCAACTGGGTAACTACTGCGGACCGTAGTTCCCGGTGAAACCGAGACGCAAACTGGGTTAGGGCGAAGGCAGCTAGTAAATACAGTAATTTCTCCGAGAAATGTTCGTAGGTCGGAATTGAAACCGGCGGATCCGAGTATACTAAGGCCCGAAGAATCGCGACTTAGTATTCTCGGATCTGCCGATATATTGTTTTTAAATTCAGTCGGCAAAAAATTATTGTACAATAATCTATACCGTCTAGATCAATTTGAGAAAGCCTCTACTATAATCTCCCTAAATCATTTCCAATGGAAAATATTTTTTCATTGGCAAAAGTGAATTTTCCACCTTCGGTTTCTCCTCCCCGGAAACTCCGCATTCGAACGTCGCTCCAGGNCTAGAAAAATGAACAACAATTCGCCAAGCAGCGAACAGAGTATTTCGATTCCAAATGCCAAACACTTGCTATAAAATGGAAAGATTCGATCGCAGTTCGCTGGACTACAATTCGTTACAGCTACTCGCATCGAACGGTGATCGCCGCGTTTCGTAAAAGTGGATTCGGTGGGCGATAGTCGGTCCTCTTAAGGACCGTCACGTTCGATCATCGTGACGGCTTTGTCTTCGTGCGACCGGTGTATCCACGGCAGTCACTTTAATCCGCGAAGTTGCAGCCGATTAGCATTCACGGAGGCAGCTCGGTCTTTGTTGTGTCGACAGTCAACCTGGACCCGGAATCGCGGGATCGTGCCAACTGGGTAACTACTGCGGACCGTAGTTCCCGGTGAAACCGAGACGCAAACTGGGTTAGGGCGAAGGCAGCTAGTAAATACAGTAATTTCTCCGAGAAATGTTCGTAGGTCGGAATTGAAACCGGCGGATCCGAGTATACTAAGGCCCGAAGAATCGCGACTTAGTATTCTCGGATCTGCCGATATATTGTTTTTAAATTCAGTCGGCAAAAAATTATTGTACAATAATCTATACCGTCTAGATCAATTTGAGAAAGCCTCTACTATAATCTCCCTAAATCATTTCCAATGGAAAATATTTTTTCATTGGCAAAAGTGAATTTTCCACCTTCGGTTTCTCCTCCCCGGAAACTCCGCATTCGAACGTCGCTCCAGGGTCTGAAAAATTTTTTCCACGATTCCGATTACCACGATCTTAAAGATCAGAGTCTCCTCCTTCGAACGACCTCAAAGTTTTCGATCTACGATTTTGTCTTCCTTCTTTATCGCGGTCCGAAGCGACCAAGATCGACGCTGCGGAAAATGAATTTTAACAAATTTCCGATTTCAATTCCAGTCCCTGTTAGCTAACTCTTTTATTTATAATTTTTTGCCACGATTCGACGGTCCGTAATCCGCTCGATAACAATGTACGTACGTGTCGTCGCATCGGCTCGAAGAATTTTGACGTGTAACGAGATAGCCGAAGTATAGCTGCTCTCCGTCTCCCAGCCTTTTGTCTGCGAGGCTGCCGGCTCGATGCGAACATGCTGCCGAACTTTCGTATAGTATCCGACTACAGGCTTAACATTCTTGCAGCAGAAAGTTTGGACAACGGATCCTCAAGATCGATCGGTTCGATCGAAGGATATACCAATCTTTCTGCGACATTGATAGGAAAATCGGCACGCACTTGCCGATTTTATCGTACGCCATCCGTGCGGTGCGCTCCTGCCGCAACAGCAACGCGCATCGTGCATCTCTATTGCACTGTATAAAAGGATTGCGCGTTTTAATAGATTTAATCTGGCAGCATACGTCAAGTTGAAGGGATAACAGGAAGTACGCTCGCCGTTAACGACGCGACGGGTTAGCCGTCGGAAGCCGGCATCGACAGCGCCGAGCCCCACCTCTCCCCCCTACCGCGATGAAATTTTTACAATTTCCATACCGACGATCGGGCACAAAGAGAGCCCAGAATATTTCCCGTTAATCGTCCCCGTCGAACAGGAGTCGTTCGCCACTTGGTTCAGCGGCGTTTACATCGAGCGACGCGGGATTAAATTAAGCCCGCCGTACAAGCGTGCACTCGCGCCGTCAAAGGGCATGAATTATTCCCAGCGGGCCGTTCCCGCGTGCATAGCGCACGGCTGACAGCTCGATAAAAGGGCAAAAGCGCCGTTTTATCGGCCATGGAGGCTAATCGGATCCGCGAGGCTCTAATGACGACCCGCGTCTCACCCCCCGCAATTATCGTCCCGGCGCGGCGATCTGTGCGCCCCGACCGATTAAGACGCTTCGAACTGCAGTAAATTATCCCTAATTCGGTTCGACGATGAACGATCGCGTTCGCCGAGGTCCGGAGCCGTCGATAAGCGCCGAAACTTCGGGGAGGGGGCCCGCGTTTCGCCCGGGCATTTTCTCGACGCTTAAAATCTGCGAAACTTTCCGGGAGCACTGCAGCCATCGGGAAAGTTCGCGCAAATATTTTCCTTCTGTTTTTCCCGGGAACCACTCAAAACCGTGGCAGCACTCTCTCTCACTCTCTCTCTTTCTCTCTTTCTTTCTCTCTCGCCCGACGGTTTATCCGTTCGACGGGCGCGGAGGCAGGGCGGCGGCGCGTTTGACGCTGACAGGAAGTCCCGCCTTCACTCGCGCCCAAACTCGATGGAATAATTTTGCAAGTTCCGACGCGTTATACACCCGACAGCGTGCACTCTTCCGGCGGTCCCCGTCCCCGCACCTCCCTCCCCCCGGCCACGATTTTCCTCGCGGGGCGCGACGCGACGGTTCGCCGGCAGTAATAAATCAGCTTTCCTCCGCGCTGCAAACTTCTTTCTCCGGCGCGCCGCTTCGGTTATTCGCCCCCGCCGATGGAACCATCCGCGGCTGGCCTTTGTCAACCCCCGACACGCGCCCCTTGCAACCCCCCCGCCTCCTATTTACGTTGCTGTAGCGTCTACGCGAAAGTTTCTTCAAAAAGTGCCGAGCCGCGCCGCGTCGCGCCGCACCCCGTTGCAGAACTTTCCGGAAACTCAGAGCGGGCCGAGTGTTCGCTGCCGTTCATCGAACTTAGCATTCACGCTGTCCCTCGGCTCCGCGTCAATCCCACTCGCACCCACCTTAAAGCACCCCCGCGATCCTCTTTCGGGGATACGCAGGCGACTCGGCGGGCTGTTTACCGTTGCATATGCGGCGGAAAGTTTGTCGCGGAAGCGGCGGCGTTCCATATTTTTCGACGCGCCCGGCGACGTTGATGATTCAAAGCGATTGCCTTTTAAGCGGTTCGCCAGGCGAGATAGATTATCGCCGCTTCCGACGGCATTCGCTGTACTTGCGGTGGCTCTGTTGAACGATTATCGCGGCGGCATCCGTTCCGGAGCGTTTCCGCGTCCGGTTGTTTCGTGGATATTTAACGTCTCGACGGCGATGCTTATTTATTTGTAGCGAGCGTGGTTCTGAAGAGGACGCGGCTCGGCAAGTGGACGAGAAACGATCTCGCGTCGACTCGAAATTCGATAGTTTGCGGCGGAGACATTTGCATCCTTTAACTCTCGATTCGAAGGGCTGTTGTCGAAAGGATCTCTCGTTTCTTATGGTAAAACACCCCGGCGAAAATTATGAAAAATTTAATATGCCGCGGCTACCGATTTTAAAATGTTTCAGTCGCAAACATTTGGTGGACGTGAGAAGAATGATCGGTGATTTTAGAAAGAGCGCGAGCCTGTGGAGCGATAAAGCACGACCTTGCGTTGAATTTAACTCGAAATTCGGTAGCTCGCGGCGGAGACAATTGCATCCTTTAACTCTCGATTCGAAGGGCAGTTATCGAAAGGATCTCTCGTTTCTTATGGTAAAACACCCCGGCGGAAATTCTGAAAAATTTTAACATGTCTCAGCTACCGATCTTAAAATGTTTCAGTCGCGAACATTTGGCAAACGTGAGAAGAATGATCGGCGATTTTAGAAAGGGCGCGAGCCTGTGGAACGATAAAGCACGCCCTTTGCATTGAATTTAACTCGAAATTCGGTAGCTCGCGGCGAACACAAAATTTGACATCTGAATTCAACCCTTCGGCGCGATTGGAAGGGTAGTCGCGAAAAGGATCTCTCATATCCAATGTTAAATCGCCGGCGGGAATCCAGAATTTTTTGCACGCTTCGTACGAACATTGTGCGATGCTTGAATTGCAACAGAAAAATTGATAGAAACGGCGAAGAAGGATCGGCGATGAGTAGACTGCGGATTTGTATGCGTATTCCCGTTTTCGGGGGTTGTTCTACAAAAATTAGAACGACGGGAATATTTTCATCGTCGACTGTGAAAATAAAAATGAAATAAAATAAAATGATATAAAATAAAATTAGATGAGAATAAAATAAATCAGACCTCGTCAACTAACGCGCTTTCTTACATTTTAGGAATCCGCGCGCGCAACGAACGCGCGGAGATCCGCGGTCCAGCGACGACAAAAGCGAAACAGATAACAGTTCGGTACACCGTTCACAATTCGAGCGTTAAGACCGCGCGGGTTTTTTATAGTGAAAATAACAGTTTACTTACCGCGCCGCGCGAAACGAATTGCCGCGCCGCGGGCTAAGCCTCGCGTCACGGAGGAAATATGGGGTGCGCAGGGGAACAGATGGACGGGACGCGTGCGTTTCGCAATTTTTTCGGGAACAGGACGGGGTGGGGAGGGGGGCCAACACTCTGGGTCGCATACTCGGTCTTGTTTTTTTTCTCCACTATGTTTCCATTTATTTTGTATATGACAGCAGTACGGTCTGCTCGGTCTCTCCCTCTCGTAACAAGAACAAAAAAAAAAAACGAGAAAAAATAATAGTTAATACTTCCTCTTTGTCGTCATACTGTCTAGTATCGCTTGTACAATTACAACTTAGACACGCTTGCGGATATATGAAGAAGAAAAGATAAAGGAAACAGAAACGGAAGAAAATCGAGTGAAACACGCCGTCGATGCTTGCTGTTGCAGCGCGCCCTCGCGGGCGTTAAATCGATTAATTAAGATCTCTGTCCTTAAGTTACGCTGGCCGCAGCCTTATAGCCTTAAGTAACGATTCTCGAAAATCCGTTTTACGGCTAGACTAAAAAAAAGAAAGATAAAATGAAGAAGAAGAAGAAGAAGAAGAAGAAGAAGAAGAAGAAGAAGAAAGAAATAAAGAAACCCGCGCCCCGTGTTTCATCCGTTATTCCCCGTTGGTCTCGCACGATTCGTTCCGAGTTGCGAACTCGAATTCCGATTCGCGGACGATTAGCAGCGCGCAGGCGGTGTACGGACCCCGGGGCGATTCGCTCGAGCGAGTGGAACCGCGCCGCGGGTTGTATCGCGGGCGAGGAGAAAAAGGGACGCTCTGAGAATCCGCGCGAGTAACCGTTCGGAAAATGAACACGGAAAGTCGGAATCCGATCGACGGATCGCGAACCCTGGGCCGCGCGCTGATTGTACTTGTTTTGTTCTCTCTATTTGTTTCCGGTTCGCAGAAAAGACGGGCCGGGCCGGGCCCCGGGCAGGGTCGCGCGGCACGGCCTCGGTTCGCTTAAACTCTACTCGGCTTGGCGAACGCGGTAAAACGCTACGCCGAACGCTCGTTCCTGGATCAAGGGAGACGCGTCTACGTCGCTACGTTCGTATCGACGTCGCCGATAAAAAGCACTAATCGTCTGTCTCGACTAAGTGCCTCGAGGCGGCGGTTAAGTACGGGCGAGCGGGGCAACGACCGCGAAGAATATTCGTCCGGCGGCCCGAGAAGCGAACGAAGGATCGAGAAAATGATTCTCGGCGGGCGTCGTTTCGATGGCTCGTCGCGTGAGAAAGAGGAATCTATGGAACGTGAATTCGCCAAGCGTGTTCGTGCGCTGTCGTTGAAGCTGGTCGACACGCCTCGAGGACACGGTAATCTTATCGCTAATTATACGAAGTGAAGGCACAAGTTCGGGGAAAGAATCTGTCGCGGAGCTCGGCCCCGGAAAACGCTCGCGAAAAATTCCGCCCGCTTCTCATTCGGGATTACGCTCGATCTACCGGCGAAAACGCTTCCGGCTCCTCTCTCTCTCTCTCGTTCTCTCCCTCTCCCGCATTCTTGTTCGTTAGGCACGTAATTGTTAAAGCATAGGCAGCGGAGTACTCGGTCGACGAACGAGGCACCGCGATCTCGCATCTGGCTCTCTGAATCGCTCTCCTCTATCTCTCGTTACAATCTTCCCGCCCTCTCTTCGTTATCCAGCTACGTTTTTGTCCGCGAATCACGCCGATGCTAATACTTTTCCCGAGATTTGCAACCCCTTTATGACTCCAGCTATTCGCAGGCCGCGTCTTCGTTTACGTTCAAATCTTTTCCTAATTCTAATTCTAATTTATCATTAGGTTCCGGTAATGTTCTCTGTATTTAGTATCAAGTAATCGGTTCGCTTCGCGCGACAAACGACAAATATTAACTCGAAAAATTCACACGATATCAGAGTCATTCGATTAGAGGCACCGAAACTAGAAAGTGAAAATTTGCCATAGGAAATATTCAGCCATTTTGTGTTCTACAAATCCTAACAACAATCAATTTGTTCAATACATTACGATACAAGTGAATTTCAAAAACCTAGTTGAAAATTAACGTCGCCTATATGTGACGCGGCACTGAACGTGTTAAAAACGCGGTGAATATATTGGCCGGAGGAAAATTTAATTTTCTTTTATAGAATCGACGTTATTATTATTACAACGTAAAAAAAAAATATATATATATATATATTTACGCACTAGTTACAATTTCGTACAATTAACTTTGAAATAAATTGAAGAAATTCTATAACAACATCCTACCAGTTCCCAAAATTTATTCAACTTTCTGCGACTGTCCTAATAATTTTGGAGAGGTGTGTACGTATCGCTCCTCGGTTTATCCATCACAGGTTCTCGGTTATCTGTATTATCCGTTCGCAATCCGCCTCTCGTTCGTATCTTTCGCTCCGGCGCCTCCTGTTATAATCACCCCCTGCCCGCCCCCCTCGATCTATCATCGCCGCTTGTTTGTACACCTGTTCGCAGGGCACGCAATCATCCCTCGCTTTATCCAGCCGTACGCGGGCCAGCTCTCGTTAAAATCGCGTCCCCTTATCCCGTTTCTAATCACTCCGCCCCTCTTTTTCCCCAGATTCTCGAAGCACGCAATCGTTAAGGCACCGAGCGAGAGAGGGATTTACGATCCCCGGCCGATGGACTCTCGAATTCGTTATGTTTTACGAGGAGCCGGAAGCTTCGCGGCAAAAAGTCGAACGTCGGCGGAGGGCGGAGGAGGGTGGAGGGCGGCTGGGAAAAGGCAGGGCTGGTTTCCAAGGCTCATACATCTTTCATGGGACGTCGTTAGGCCGGCAGACGGTGAAAAGAACACATCCTTTCGTGTCCGGACGGGAACCCGTGGCTTACGCGGACACCTGTCGACGTTCGTTTCTCGCGTATCCATCCCCCCCGCGCGAGCCGATTAATTGAGACGACGCCGGGGATTTTCCGTCCCGACCGAGTTACTTTCGCGCGGCACGAGGGCTCTTGTCCATTGGGTGTACGAAACATGTCTCCAGCGAACGAGCCGGGAGATTCGAATCTGCTCTCGACGTCGATCGATCTTTCGCGAATGGAGATTTCTGTATCGTTCTACTCGAGCCTGAGAGAGCGTCGAGCGGTTCGAATGGTACAAGCGGATTGTTACGCGGCCGTGCCGAGACGACGTTTCTATTTTTTCTTAACACTCTCCCGGACACGTTTCTGTACGGAACTTTTTGTAGTGGAACGAGGCACTTCGGAGAACGAGCAAACCGACAGAGGTCTATCAGTTTCTGATAGACCAAAGATTTCAAAGTCTTCGATAAAGCGATTCTGTGCGCCAATCCGACCCGGAGATGGCATCTTTCATCGACGGCGAAATTTTCCGAATTTTCTATTCGCGAAACTACGCGCTTTGTTTTTATACCTCCCGGTTTCGAATAGAACGAATCGAGAGCTCGACGAATCGAAGCGTCGACGATCAACGCAGCAGTGTCAAAAACCGCAGCTAAACGTGTTCCATCATTATACCAGAGAGCTTCCCGGTTCGCGGAATATTCTGCAGCCGGTCGCCGTTGCCGAGGCAGTCGTCGAAAACCGCGGCCGATCCGAGCCCGCTCTCGATCGTTCCTGCGAAATCGATCGAACGGGGGTGGTCGGGGGTGGCGTGAAAATCGGCGTCGCGAATGAGTCCAGTCGCGAGGGTGTCCGTATCGACGGCGTAGCAGAAAACGACGCGTTTTCTCTTCCGGAACAAGGGGGCCGTGGCGTAAATGGCCCGACGAAATTGTCGATTCGACGCGGATAACGATTCGACGTGTCGCCGACGGGATTCGCGGCTTCGATGGACAGACGGAGCCGACAGTTTTCGATTTCGAAGCGGTGTTCCGATCAGCGTGGAGGAATCGGCAGCTTGTCCGCGAGAGACTCTGGTGGGATGAGCGAAAACAATTGGGATAGCTAGCTTTCTACAGGTTGTTCAAATTAAGAAGCATTCGATATTTTTATGGTAAATAAAAAGAGATGTTCGGAGGCGGGCGAACGCGCGTAGAAAATCCAAGGAAATCCGTGCACGCGAAAGCAATGGGGGTAGCTAGCTTTTGACAGGTTGTTCGAATTAAGGAGCATTCAATGGTGAATAATTTTTATGGTGAATAAAAAGAAATGTTCGGAGGCGGGCGAACGCGCGTAGAAAGTCCAAACAATCCAAGGAAATTCGCCCGTGCGATCTGCGGGAACGTTTTGGAAACGGAAAGGACGAATTTGCGGGAACAACCCCACCCACCCTCTCCTTTGCGTTCGACTGACTTTCTTGTTCCGTAAAGTTCGAGGTTTCCGAGGCCTCGAGGGGTCCGCGGTTTTTCTACTCCGTTCTCGTCGGTCGCGACCTCCTGTTTGTTGCTCGGCTGCTCGCCTCCGTCGGAGCCGGGACTTTCGTTTCAGCGATTCTCGGGCCGAGAAACGTCCCCGGGAACGTCCCGGGAAATGTCTCGAGGACTCGCGGCCGCCTCCCGCGTCCCTCCCTACTCCATCGCCGCCTCCTGGAGAGCGTGCAGATGAGCGTAGAGGCCGTCCGCCGCTATTAGGTCGTCGTGAGTGCCCATCTCCGCGACCGTTCCCTTCTCCAGCACGCAGATCACGTCCGCGTTCCTTATAGTGGCCAGACGGTGCGCGATGGTGATGCACGTCCTGCCCTCCATCGCCTTGTCCAGCGCCGCTTGCACGACCTGTAATGCAGAAACGCACGGCAACGATCAGCTACGATTCACGACAATTACAGTAATTTCTCTCGGAAATGCCCAATTTCGGGTTGCTGCGAATTTCCCTGAATTTCGCCTATGCGATTTAATAGGATCCCTATTTAACCTTATTTAATAGGGACGACCGTCGAATCGTGGCACGTGGCCTCTGAATTGCCTTCGAATAGTGGCACGTGGCCTCTGAATTGCCTTCGAATAGTGGCACGTGGCCTCTGAATTGCCTTCGAATCGTGGCACGTGGTCTCCGAATTGCCTTCGAATCGTGGCACGTGGCCTCCGAATTGCCTCCGAATGGTGGCAAAAAATTAGAAATAAAAGAATTAGCTAGCAGGTATTGGAATTAAAATAAAAAAATTTGTCAAAATTCAGTTTCCGCAGCGTCGACCTTGGTCGCTTCGGACCGCGATAAAGAAGGAAGACGAAATCGTAGATCGAAAATTTTGACGTCGTTCGAAAGAGAAGACTCTGATCTTGAAGATTGTGGTAATCGAAATCGTGGGAAGAAATTTTCAGACCCTGGAGAGACGTTCGAATGCAGAGATTTTCCACCTTCGGTTTCGAAGGTGGAAGATTCGTTTTTGCCAATGAAAAAATATTTTTCATTGGAAATGATTCAGGAAGACTATAGTAGAGGCTTTCTCAAATTGATCTAAACGGTACAGATTATTGTACAATTATTTGTTGCCGTCTGTTCACAACAGTTTCTATAAAAACAAGCGGCGAGACTCGAAGAATCGCGACTTATTACGTATTCCCAGATTTTGGCATCGAGCCGCATCAAATCTTTATTTTCGTCGAACAAGGTACGCTCTGGGAATAAGATATTAAAATATTTAAGTCCGCTGGTTTAAAATTCAGTACACCGAATATTATTCTTGTTCCTTGAAAATATGCCCCCCCCCACCACCCCGCCACCATTTGAATCGCAAATTCCGCGCAGGGATTAAATTTTTCACCGTCCGAATCTTTTCGAAAATTTTTACCGTAGACGCGTAAATCCCCCGGAGGTCTACTTATATACGGTGACAAATCCCGATTTTAGTAGATTATTTTACAAAATCGGGTTAACGGAAACATTCGCTCCGCGGAGCGAAAGATCCTCATTGTGTTGAAAGTACAGCGGAAATGTCTAGCGGAAATCGGCGAGAGGATGAAACCGGACCACCGTGCATTTTATCAATTCCTCTCCGGCGTGAATGCTGATAGCGGAGACCGCGAATTCTCATTTTCATACATTATTTTATAAGAATCGGGCGCGGACCAGCGAAGAAACTTACGGCGCGGATTAAAAGATTCTTTATGGTTAGAGTAAAGCACGGAAAAATCTCCGGCACTCACACGCGAGGAGAGGAGCGAGCACGCGGGGAATTTTTTCGGTTAATTCCTCCGGCGAGGCGGACGACACTGATATCTGCACTGCAAATTCTCATTTCCATATATTATTTCGGCAAATCCGGACGTGGAGAAAAATGCATTTCGGGCACTGTTGGATTCGTCGTAAAAATTACGCGAAAATGTGTCTACGCGCGCGGCATATCAACGAAATGGAAAAGGAGACCTTCGTGTTAACGAAAACTCTTGTCGCGTCTTCGTGCTTGTACCGCGAAAGACACTTTTACCCGCCGAAAATAATTGCCGATTTTATAAAGCACGGTGTTGGAGACGTGTTTAAATTTTAAATCTCCGAAACACGTGCTCGTAATATTCTTTGAAAAAGATAATGAAAATTTGAAATCCGAGCTTACATAATTGAAATGTTTAATTGAAATGGAAGAGGGTGTCGTGATAAAAAAATATCTGTACGCGCACGCAAATTAATCCTCTGCGATGCTAATTTTTTATACGGGCATACAAAATTTATGTAACGAGAAATTCAGAAGTTTAAAAAAAGGTCGCGTTAAAAATTAAATTTAATTAAAACACCGGACACGTCTGGGTGCGATTTCAAAGCCTGAAAGGGTTAACAGAAGTAACCCAGTGCGTTCGCGGAAAAGGCAACAGCGTATTTTTAAGCTCAGAAATCATTTTTCGCACATTAAATGCGATTTTTTCGTATATTAAACGTTTCTAATTTAATTTTATTACGTATGATAAAGTTACATTAAAAAATATACATATGTATATATAAATATTTATTATGTATATGTATACATATATTTATAATTTATATATATATATATTTAATATATATTATATATATATATATTTAATGTTTCTAATTGTCTTTTTCGTTTCATAAGCTGCACCAAATATTTCGAAAATATCTTTCAGAGAATTATTAACCGCCAGTTACATCGCGGTATTGAAGTGGAAATAGAACGTTCCGCGTCCCGAATACCCTGCACGTAGATACGTCGCGCGCAACCAACCTCGGTAACACAATTTTTCGAGCGTGATTAAAAAAAAAATGTTGAATAAACCCGACGGGAAATGGACGTCGCGCGCAATGCGGTTCAACACAGGCGAACGTCTCTGTGTCCCGCAACACGCGAACCGAGTAAACAATGGGACGGGGCGCGCAGAGGGATCGTAAGCAACCGCGAAGCAATAATTGCCGTGAAATTCGTTCGGTGGTCGAGTCGGCAACAACAATTGAATACCGGCAAAACCGAGGATTTCCTATTGTAAAACCGTGGATAATACCGTCGTCCTCGATCGCTCCTGATTCCGCCTAATCCATTCCGATTAATCCATGTAAATGAAGCATCATTTTTTTTCTTAATTATATATACTCATATAAATTAACAAATGTTTGAATTATCGGAGTATTAATTTTTATTATATCCATAGCAACAGCCTTTTTAGGATATGTTTTACCATGAGGCCAAATATCATTCTCAGGTGCAACTGTAATTACTAACCTATTATTATCCGCTAACCTAATTATTATCTGCTATCCCTTATATTGGTCCAATATTAGTAGAATGAATTTGAGGGGGCTTTTCTATCAACAATGCTACATTAAATCGATTTTATATACTTTATACATTTTATTATACCATTTATTATATTCTATTATTAGTAATTATTCATTTAGTCTTCCTCCACACAAAAGGTTCATCATATCTTTCTCATACCGCGAAACCAAAATGCGTCTAAAAAAATGTTCTCGAAGATGAATCACTTTTTAACGAAGCTTGAACGAAGCTACGAAAAATTTCAGTTGCTTTTATTTCCTATATTCAGTTGCTATATTTTATTGTTAAACTTTTACTCCAATCGGACGGCAACAGTCGTTCATTCTGCTTTAAAAGAATTGAAGTACTCTCGAACGAATTTATCATTTGGTGTTACACGCTTTAACGCGAACTTTATTTTCTTATTTTATTTCTATATTTATTATTATACTTTATTGTTTTACTCTAAAATATCTGTTAGCAAATAAACATTCTTCCATGATTTCCATCGATCGAAAACGAAACACTTAAAACAGAATCAAAGGGTTAACGTAAAAATTACGTGAAAATAGAAATAGAAATAATTCGGTCCTATTAAATAACCACGCTAACAACTTTCCCATCACGATTTTCGTTTCCAAAGGAAACGAAATGCTTGGACACAACGAAATCCATATATCGGCCGCGTTTCGGTGACAAAAATGAAGAAGGCAGCGAAGGGTTGGAATAACTGGTTCCTGTAAAAATGGCTCGAGTAAATAGCAAAAGACCGGGCCACAGGTAAACAGATGAATTTTAATTCGACGGGAATTACCATACAAAGTGTGTCCATGGTGTCCCGTGACGCGCTAACCGGGCACCGTCGCTCGCGATATCTTTTATCGGCGGCCCGGTCCCGCGTGTTTTTGCTCGTATTGTACATTAAAATCCATCAGGGTCCATTAATATTCATCAACCGGCCACGCTCGCGAAGCTACCGCTAGTTTACACCGCGCGCGCAGTTATTCAGAACCGAGTGTCCTAATATTCATCGGTCACCGCGACAAAATATTTTCCCGCGCCGTTGTCAGACACCGCTCCGCTGCAGAACAGATCGGATTATTATTATTATGTTATCGGATTATTCGTATATATATATATATACGCATACCATATACATGGATTTAAATATATATTATATATGTGTATATACATAATCGCATTATCCGCGAATTTCTGCGGTTATAAACATGTTCGGGCTCGCGGTGTTTCGAAAGCGGCAGTCGAACGCCGCGTTCGAATTTCCTATTTTTGCCAGTCGACCGTTCGATAATCGGCGCCTAACGGTGACGAGCATCGAATAGCGTGCCCTATCGAATAGGACCCATACAGGGTGTCCCAAAAACGTCACGTAATCCGGAAATGGAGGATTCGCGAGGTAATTCGAAGTAACTTTTCCCTCGGCGAAAATGCGATCCGCGGCTTCGTTTACGAGTTATCAGCGAAAAGCAGTCGACCAATAAGAGTGCGGCTCTGCTGGCCCAGCCAAATAGGAGCGCGCGAAGCCCACGAGCCTATCAAAATCCAGTTTATACGTCGAGGAGAATCTGGCGGCTCCAACGAGTCCGCAAACGCGCAAATCGTCGTACGCAAAATAAATAAAAGGAACGAGCAATTCCCGAGGGCTCGATAAATCCCGGAACGGGGACGATTCGCTCGTGAAAGAAACCATTAAAGATTCTCGCGTCGGCGTTAAAGATTAGCGACGGTGTCGCGTCGACGTCGGCTCGGCCGCGAACGGTCTCGAACGATCCGGTCGCTTTCGGCGACGATTTCGAGAGGAGATCTGGAAGCACTCGTCGGACATTTGAGAGACTCTCTCGACTGGAGGAGGGTCTCTACAGAAGGCGATAAGAAACAAAGTTAGCGTCCTCCTCTCGGCCGGGAGGAGCAGGAATTCTTAACGCGTCCGTGAGAAGCCGTCGAGCGGTCGGAATCCTGAAGGAAACCGCTCCGGGATCGCGGCTCGAGGGTATTGCCCGGCGTCGGACTCGCATTTTCAGAGGCCATTAACTCGATTGACCGTTCTGGGATCTCGGGTGTGTCGATAACGAGAGCGAGACAGAGAGAGAGAGGGAGAGAGAGACTGAGGGCGGTTCTCCATCGTCGGGCGTCTCGATTGAATCCAATCTTGTTTCGTCGATCGGCGGCGGTATAGCTCGCCGAGGTCCACGTCCGCGTTATCGCCGTCTTCCCGACACCGAGCCGGCATTATGAGGGTTGTTAATTGGTCGCGGGTGTAACACAATGCCGCGGTAAGCCCGAATGCGACGCTTTTGTCCCCGCGAGAATTCCGTCTACTGTTTCACGCCTCTCTCTCTCTCTCTCTCTCCTTCTCTATCTCGCTCTCTCTCTCCTTCTCTCTCTCTCTTTCTCTCTCTCTCTCTCTCTCTCTCTCTCTCTCTCTAGGGAGAGACAGCAGCGCTCGTTTCTTCAACGCCCTGCTGCACCCCTCGCCCACCCTTCAACGCGATCCAGGACGCCCACGCCATCGGGAAAAAGAACGGCCTCGCGTTTCCACCCCCGCGCCATACCCCGTGTCCCGAACAACGCCTGAATATCTTCTCAGTTTTTAATTCGTAACCGCTTGTTCGATTGTTGGGGATGTAAGCGTGAAAAGAGAACGAAGACGTTCCGGAATTCCATACAAATTAAACTCGGACGTTAAGAATTATTTTGCTGATGATGCAAGACGTTTTGGAAAATATAATTTGTCAGCAGTCAATTGCGAGAAACGGGAACTAAGTAGCAAGTTCTTTTTCTCATTGATAATTGCGATAGAATAGGGTGGTGGAGCCGGTTACTGTGCGGTGATCAATTGCTGTGCCTTTCGTTTCGGGTATAATATTAACTTTACGTTTACCGAATAAGATATAAAAATGTAAAATAATAAAATGTATAAAATAAAATATAAATATATATAAATAATAATAAAAACAATATCATTTATTGTTTTATATATATTATATATAAAACAGTAAAAACAATAATATTAACATAAATATACGAAAATATATGTCATACATGTAAAATAATAATAATAAAATGAGTGAATAATATGAATAAAAATATAGAAATGTATTCGATGTATATAAAGTTAATTATGATTTAATACGCATCAAAGGCACAGTAATTGGTCACCTCTCGGTAACCAGGGCTCCATTATACCCCACTATCTTAAACTACGACTTCTCGATTTTCCCACAAATATTCCCAGCTCCTGCCAAATCTCTAAATCGCCCGTATCCGTTGTCAGAAACATGAATCGAGTTCGCTCGCAACCCGACGAAATCTGAACAAAAAAAATATCGCGAACGCTTGGAAGCGTTTTTAAGATATTTTTCATACGATTCGTATCGCACGGGGGGGATGTATTTAGGTGTCCGTTGCAGGCCGGGACACCCAGTATATCACCGAAAGCTGGCGGCGTCTGTTGCAGTCCGATTCCCTGACCCATTTTTGCGTAGCCTCCCCCGCGGTGATCTACCGGTAGAATCCCGGTGCCGAATCGCGTCTGTTGCCACGTTCCGTTACTGCATTTCGTCGCGTCCTAACATTGAAATTCCGCGAGATTCACTGCGCGTTCTGTGTCCGGGGGCCGCGGCGATTATTTATGGCGAACGAGGGGTCTCCTTTTTACGCGGACAGAGGGGGTGAGGGGAGGCGGGGTACCCGCGTCCTACTGCTTGTATTCTAAGGCTCGATGATCAATAACGCTGCTAAAAGATTTAATACCGCGCAGGATTTCGATCGCTGCGCAACGTTGTAAATCCTCTCCGAACGATCTCGCGAATGTTTCTGCAGTAAATTGCGACAATGAGGATCGCTCGTCGGTGTTTGACGTATAGCGCGTGTCTAAAGGTATTAAAATGTTTCAATATTTTTATAGAGCCGCTCGACGCGCGCTGATTAAACCGAACTTTTATCTCGCCAGTTATTCGATGCAGCGAACCGAAGATACCGTGTTATCGATGTTCATTTTTGATGCAGAGTTACATGCTGGAAAATCAACCTGAGACATTCTCGCAAAATCAAGATTATTTAATTGAATGCAACTGAAACCAAAGAGTTAACATTTATCGTAGCGGATTGTATTTTACCTAGTTTGCGTTCTGAACGTCGCGGTTAAATTCGGTTCGTTTCGATACAGGGTGTCCCAAAAAATGTCTCGCAATCCGAAAGTGGCGGGTTCCTCGGGTCATTCGAAGCAACTTCTTCCTTTATAACAATTTTCTCCGAGGCACCGTTAACGAGTTATTAACGAAAAATAGTGACCAATGAGAGGCGAGCTCGGCTGGCGCGAGGCGATCGAGCCAATGAGCGAAACTGGGCTTCGCGCGCTGGTTGGCTGGGCCGCCTCGCGTCGGCCGTACTCGATTCTTATTGGTCACTGTTTTTCGTTGATAACTCGTTAACGGTGCCTCGGAGAACATTTTTGTAAAGGAAGAAGTTGCTTCAAATGATCCGAGGAACCCGCCATTTCAAGATTCCGAGATATTTTTGGAATGCCCTGTACATTGCAATAAAGATGAACGTTGAAAATTAGAAGAAAAATTAGTGTCATCGAATCGGCAGAAATTTTCAGCCCATTTCGATGGCCGAGAAAAAGATGTTCCCTGTCAATGTTAATTAGTATTCAACCTTGACAAGAATTGCAAACGGCGTCTCCATAATTGTGGGAACGATTAGGATCTAGGGCGGCCAGTGGTTTGCGTCTTGAGCGATGGTAAATGGCGAACGAAGAGCTCCTTACCTTCTCGCTTTGAGTGTCAAGAGCGGAAGTGGCTTCGTCGAGGAGCAGGACACGCGGATTCCTGACCAGTGCACGAGCTATCGCGATACGCTGCTTCTGCCCGCCGGAGAGCTGCGTTCCTTTAGATCCTAACCTAGTATCGTACCCCTGCAACAAAAGCAACCAGACACTGTTGAATATCTTGACGGCAAAGCATCCGAGAGACGTTGATTTATTAATTCGTTTTTTATTAATTCAGTCACGGCTTTGGTAACGATTATATATTGACTAGACTGCGGATTTTTATACATAATATTTTTTTATACAAAAGTGCAATTTCAGTGCAATTTTTGTTCTTCGTTAAATAATTTTAGCGAGCTGATATAATTACATTAGCGTTCTTAGCTTCTTCTAATTTCTTCGCTATTTTATATTTCATCTATTCATTTTTGCTGTCTTCATATCAATTTTACGTCATTTTTACATCATTGTTACATCACTTGCTATTAAATGCTATAAATTAGTACATCGTTACATTCTTAGTTCATTCATATTTTCCTTTACATTTTTCTTCCCACTGTTTGATATTTCACCTATTCATTTTTGCCATCAATGAATACATTATTACATAATTTATTATTGAATGGTATAAATTACTGCATCGCTACATTCTCAGCTTCTTTACATTCTCAATTCCACTATACTTATATTTCATTTATTCATTCTCGTTACAAACGCATAAAATCCGCAGTCTAAAAATGAAAAATCGTGGCAAGATTTGAGCCGTTTATTTTGAAAGTGGCATAAGTCACTTTGTTTCTAAGTCGATATATTTAAGGGTTTGCGTTTTAACACGTTTCAAAATATGGATGCTAACTTTCGAGAAGATTTACTTGTATTTGTTATCTCAGGACACTAATATTTTTCTCAGTATAAATAATTTCGTGTAAACATTAAAAAAATCACCACTTTTCATTACGGTAAAGTGACTTGTGCCACTTTCAAAATGAACGGCTCATTTTTCGAAGACCGAAACAAATGAAATTGTCTGTATTCGGCGAGTGCCGGTTAGAAACGAAGGATCGTTACTCACTAGTGGTAGAGAGCTGACGAAACTGTGGATGTTCGACTTCTTGGCGGCCTCGATAATCTCCTCCATCGGCACTCTGCGGAAGTTGTCGCCGTACGCGATGTTCTCCGCGATCGTTCTGTCGAAGAGGACCGGCTCCTGGCCGACGACGCCGAGCTGGCAGCGCAGATTACGCAACGAGACCGACGAGATGTCACGGCGGTCCATCGTCACCGTCCCAGAAATCGGGTCGTACAGACGTTGCAGCAGCTGGATGCAGGTAGACTTGCCGCATCCGCTCTGGCCGACCAACGCGACCATCTGACCCGGCTTCACGATCAGATTCAATCCTTGCAGGATGTGCATCTCCGGCCGAGTCGGATAGTGGAACTCCACTTTCGAGAATTGGATCAACCCATCCGCTTTCTGAAACCATTGTCGTTCCTCTGGTTATTCGCTGTTCGTTACGCGAATCGTCTCGTCTAAAGCAACAACCGAGCCATCGTTCGATCGCTGTATTTGCAACAATTTCGTTAACTACGTTTGTGATTAGAATTTCTTCGTTTTTGAACAATTTATCCGACAGAACGAGACGATTTTCATTTTGAATAACTATTGTATGTAATTTAAAAGTAATCGTTTATTTATTTACGTCGTCATTCCTGTGCTTTTTTAAACAGAAGGATCATGTATTGTTTCCATTTAGAAGAAACGAGATACAGTAATGTCTTCCTAATCGATGCTCAGATTGTGCACAAAAATGGACACATTGGGAAGAGGAGATACGATTATTCGAGCCTTGTAGCTCGTTTTTTTATAGTTACGAATTGTCAAGGGGTTATGTCAATCTTTGCGACAATTAGAGGGACATTACTGTAGCTAGCATTCGTATTTAGCGAATATAATGTATGAAATCTTTGTTCAAACGAATCAGAAGAGTCTTCCACGAGTTCATTGGAATTTGTAGACGGCCTTCGAATAGTGGCACGTGGCCTCCAAATTGCCTTAGAATTGGTTTCAAATCGTATCGCGTGAACTCCGAATTGCCTTCGAATAATGTCACGTAGTCCCCGAATTGTCTTCGAATTGTGTCACGTGGCCATCGAATTGCCTTCGAATCGTGGCAACGTGGCCTCCGAATTGCCTTCGAATCGTGGCACGTGGTCTCCGAATTGCCTTCGAATCGTGGCTCGAATAATCGTATCTCCTCTTCCCAGATTGTCCACTTTTATGGACAATCTTTGCGTCAATTAGAGAGACATTACAGATCGTCGTTAACATAATTTATTGTTAGTCGAATATTGGATAAGTCTCGTCCGAAATATTTTTCCATTAATCTCACGGAAGTGTTTGAAAATTAATAACGATTTTTTCGTTGTAAAGTAATGTCTCCCCAATTGTCTCTCTCTCTCTCTCTCTCTCTCTCTCTCTCTCTCTCTCTCTCTCTCTCGCCCAAATTGTGCACTATAATAGACATTTTGGGGAAAAGAGACGCGATTTAGAGAGATATAACTGTAGCTAGCATTCGTATTTAGCGGATAATGTGTGAAACCTTTGTTAAAACGAATTAGGAGCCTGTAAGAGTCTTATACGAGTTCACTGGAATTTGGAGGCGGCGAATCTTCGCGCGAAAGAACAATTTTCGGTACTCGTTTTGAGCATAAACTTTTACGATTCTTCCGGCGTTTCGTGCTTTACCTGCGCGCTTTTGTACATCAAATCTGCGGTACAAAATTTCCTTCGAGCACGATGAAGAATTTATCGAACGTCCGTTGAAGATTCGCGTTGCAACGAACGAAGCGCAACTGTTCGTTCGATCGTTCGTTAGTTAGTCGGAAACCTCGGAATCTACGGAGTCGGGAGCAACCGTAATCGAATCGTTAACAGCGATCGGTTCGCCGGACAATTCCACGGTCCCTTTTTATTTATCCTAACGGCGCCGCAAATTAGAATCAATATTTGAAAATTGACCGCCGATCGACTCGACCGCGCCGAATTCCGGGCTAAATTGCTCGGTCCACGCGAAATAATCACGGTGTCGCCTGTAACGTGACCGAAGCGGAATCAAATTATCGGGCTGCCGATACTCTACATTCGACGTTATTAAATATCGGCTCGATTAACATCGCGTCGTTCCAAGTTTTCGTCGTCGCGGGGGGAGAGAGAGTGGGCCCACCCTCCGCGCGCTTTATTCCACGAATCTCCGTGTAGCAGTTAATTATGCCGTTTGTACGTGTCGAGGGGGAAGGTGCAGGGGCCGGGATCCACGGGCCCGCCGATGAAAAATAATTTATCGTCGACGGTGGCGTGGCCGGTTAATCGAATGAACGATATTTTAGCGGTGAAACGGCCGCGTTACAGGCGAACGGCGCCGTTTCGAGCGCGTTGCTGCAGCGAGCTGGAAACGTCGTTCACTCGTATCGCTTCATTAAACGGTTTGAAATTCGTAGCGCGGAGGGCAGGGGGTGCCGGAGGGGGGCAGCGCGGGGTGGTAGACACGGGTGCCACGGGTGCCGGTAGGTGGTTACAGTCCCGATCAAACACACGGTTACCCGTTTTCTGCGTAATTAACACGTGTTGCCGGAGGCTTTGCTGTCCGAACGTCATAAATTCGATAGTTTGCTAAACAGTCGTAATGCGACGACATAGGAGCGCGTGGGGCCTCGGCCGGGTTGAACGACCCCGGCTATCTCTATTCGATATTTGGCCCGTCACGCGAAAGGAAATTGACCGACAGCGGTCCATAAAACGCCAGAGACGAACCGATCCCGCAGCCCCGAGCGCTACCTCCGAATTAACCAAACGCGTTACGCATGGGCCTCGAGAGCTACCATGGTTTTGCTGTATTATCAGCTGAAAGGTCCGTCTCCGTTTCCAGAAGATAATGTAACGCGTAGAGTACCTTTCGACGGTGTGTATCTTTACGATGTATCTCGCGAGGCTTTCGAGTATCTACCTCTAATGACTTTTACAAATTTAATGACCTTTTTATTCCTACGATACAAAAGCCAATTTTATCCTCTAAATTTTAAACCAAAATTACTCGATTTCATAATTTTATAGCCTTTCGAATCAATTAGCAAATTTACCATAATAATTCCATATCTATACGGCTTTCGAGTATCTACTTCTAATCGTCTTTACAAATTCAATGCCCTTTTTTACTCTTACGAAACAAAGATCAATTTCATCCTCCAAATTTAAAACCAAAATTACTCGATTTCATAATTTCATAGCTTTCCGAATCGATCAGCAAATTTACAATAACAATTCCATTTAATCGACTAAATTCAATGGCGTTCGTATCGTAACATCATCTAATTAATATCGTAACATGAATTGTGCTCGAAACGAATCCAAATTCCACGAACTCATCGATCTCGCCGGGTCTGTGCGAACCCGACGAGCCTAACAGCCAATGGAGACGGGCGAACGGTACTCACCCAATCCAGATCTTTTTCTTCCGAGTCCGGAGGCGAGGCGATCTCCGGCACCCTGTCCAGCAGCTGGAATATCCTGCCGGCAGAGATCTTGGCGGTGTTGAAATTAGGCGCGAAGGCGAGCGCCTGGCCCAGCATCCAAGATCCGAAGATCAGCGCCTCGGACACCTTGATCACGCTCTGGTATTGCAGACCTTCGGTGGCGACCAAGGACCCGCCGTAGTACAGACTGAGCGCGTACCCGAAGAACGGGGTGGTCTGCCCGCAGGAGAACACGAGCCCTCGGAGCCGGTTCCTGATTCTGGTCGCCTTCGCGACGTGCTCCATCTCGACGCAGTAGCGTCTCAGGAAGGCCTCCTCCTTCCCCAAGCTGGCCACGGTCCTTATGTTCGAGATCGCCTCTATGGCGATCCTCGTGGCGGCCTCCATCTTCTTCTTCTCCTGCAGGCCCTGGCCGCTCATCACCCTCGCCTCGAAGAACACGGCGCCCAGCACCAGCGGTATCGAGATCACCGAGACCAGGGTCATCTTCCAGGTGTAGTATACGGAGAGGCCGATGCCCAGCACCAAGGTGGACAACGCTTGCAGGATGGCGCCCACCCGGGTGCCCGTCGCGCCCTGGACGGCGCCCGCGTCCGAGGACAATCTGGCGCACAGGGCGCCGACGCTGTTCGTGTCCTCGTCGTACCAGCCCATCTCCTGCTTCAGCATCGCCGCGAACGTCATCTTCCGCAACCTCGTGGTCATCCGCACACCGGCCAGCCCGAACATGTACATTTGCAGGAACGTGCCCACCCCGGTCACTATGCCGACTATCAGGAACAGGATCGAGAAGTTCACCGCCTCGTGGCGCACCTCGTCCTCGTCCTGCAGACCCAGCACGTAGTACACCTCGCCGAACAACACCGCGAACGCTGGGAACGAAGCGCCGACCATCGCTGCCGCGAAACATCCTGCAACAATTGGATCCTTTAATTTAGCGCCCTGCGCTTCGGGTGCGTGGAGGACGAGCTTCGTTTCGAGGACTTAAAATACAGGTAATTCTCCTATGACACGGTTAGTTCAATCAAACGATAATTAAATATATATAATCAATATATATATAATCAAAACGACAACATAATCTATAATATGTTATAGATATATATAGAACGTTTCTATCTTCTTTAAAAAGAAATCTGCAATTTTATAAAATAGTGACAGGGAGGAATAATGAATTATAGTGCCTTTACATGAAAATATAATTATTATAAGAATTATAGAATCAGCTTATTACAGAATCAGTTTATTACAGAATCATCATGATGATTCTGTAATAAGCTGATTCTATAATAAGATGATTCTATAATATGTTATATATAGATATATATATATATATATATATATAGAACGTTTCTATCTTCTTTAAAAAGAAATCTGCAATTTTGGTTTGTTTGCTGATTCTATAATAAGATGATTCTATAACATATTATAGAATCATCTTATTATAATAATTATATTTTCATGTAAAGGCACTATAATTCATTATTCCATCCTGTCACTATTTTAAGGTAATTTAGCTCTTAAATATGTTGAACAAAAATCATGCTACCCAGTGCTGTAGAAGCATGCACAGTGTTGTACAAAAATATTATAGGATAATAATATAGGATGCCTTGTTGTAGAAGGGTTAACCGCAGTTCTTTCTGGGAGAGAATGACCAAGGAATTAGAATTGCTAAAAATATGCTGATATCGTCTAACGAAGATTTCCTTGTACTTTTTCCAACGGTCAAAATAATTTCGGATTTCTATAAAACGACTGTTGCATGTGGAAATTGGCCCGAAGGTGCACAATCGAATCGCTGATGAATATAGCGGCCAGGAAGAATAAAAGGAGAAACGAAGTCCGCTCGTGTTCGATCGTCGTCGCGACGGGAACCGGACGGACAATCGGTTTTTCTCTCGTACAGTGCACACTGACCGATCAGATTGAAGAACCATTCCGGCTTGTTGAGTCCGAATATCCTCATCATCGGCGCGTCGTACTGTTTCTCGTGCTCCTCCAACTGATTCACCGAGGTCTCCGAGGCGCCGGCCAGCGACAGGCGATGGGAGTGCATCGACAGAGTGGAGAATTGTCTCTTCAATGGCGGCTTCTGCTTCGGTATCGCTGCTGTGACCGTCTTCGCCGCTGACGCCGTCGCTTTCACTAATCCAACACAAATCGGCCAGCGTTAGATCAATTTGCAACAAGCATTAACAAGCCTCGAAACATCTTGTTTGTTTAAGCAAATGGGAGATTCCCGAGGTCATTTAAAGCAACTTTTTCCTTTGCGAAAATGTTCTCCGAGGCTTCGTTCACGAGTTATTAACGAAAAACACTGACCAATAAGAGGCGAGCTCGGCTAGCGCGCGGCGGCCCGGCCAACGAGTGCACGGAGCCCAGTTCCGCTCACTGGCTCGGCCGTCTCGCGCCGAACGATTTCGCCTCTGATTGGTCGCTGTTTTTCGTTAATAACTCGTAAACGAAGCCGCGGATTGCATTTTCGCTAAGGAAAAAGTTCCTTTAAATGACCCGAGGAATCCTCTGCTTTATATTTCAGTCACGGTGCAATATCAAAAATCGAGATCGGTCTAATTCAGCGAATTAATCCGAAGCATCGGAATCTAGGAAAATCTCGAGTAAGTTAACAAAATCTCCACGACTCTGAGAAGCGGAAGAACTCGACCTTCGGGAGATTTGCAAGAATTTGATCGGAAATAGAAGAGACGAGTTCCGGAAGAAGTTTTAAGAATAAGTTTGAAATATTTCGGCGCAGGTTTCGAGGTGAATGGAAATGTTCGGTGAAATCGGCATCGAGGTAACAAGTTTAATGGAGTACCTCTGGCAGTGGCGCTGGCGTCGGCGGAAACCAGACCGTAGTAGTGTTGTCCAAGCGCAAGCAGCTCTTCGTGGGTGCCTTGTTCGACTACTTGTCCCTCCTTAATAAATACTATCCTGTCGGCGTTGGTGATCGTGGAGAGCCGATGGGTGACGACAATGGTCGTCCTGCCCTTTGACGCGGCGTCCAAAGCCCTTTGTACGGTCGCCTCGCTGTGCAGATCCAAAGCGGAAGTGGCCTCGTCCAGCAAAAGTATGGCGGGTCTTCTGACCAAGGCTCGCGCTATGGCGATCCTCTGCTTCTGACCGCCGGACAGCTGCGATCCTCTCTCTCCTACCGGGCTGTCGTAACCCTGAAGCAGACCGTGCTTTCGTCACTAATTTATCCTTGCTCGCGAGATCGTCCGCCTTCGAATAACGAACTTGCCGGACATTCAAACGTTGGCATGCTAAAATTATCAACCCTTTTATCGTCGACGCTAAAGCGTCCAAAAGCGAATCTGATTGTTACAAAAATTCCGTTTCTGTTCCCTTTATTTTTATTTGATCCACTTTAAATAACGATTTCCTAGATCGTATTAGTTTATAAGTTCTCAATGTTTTCATTATTACCGGGTATCTTATTAGCAATGATCATTTACAAAAAATCATTCTGATCTCGTTTCAATTTCATCTTTTAACAACTGTATAAAATATATAAATATTGCACTCGATACTATCGTGATTCAAGCGATGAACCATTAGAACGTTTAACAAGGAACGAGATAAGTGAAACTGTAATTTATTAAAAATATTGAGCCTACAAATATTATATATTTTCTAAAGTGCACCCGACAACGATATATCATTGATCGACGTGACATTGATATATCATTGATTATGTCTTATAAAGACATAAATTTTGATGTAACTTTTGCTTCTTGCAATCGAAGCGGACGATTTTTGATTCGCATTTTTCGCGTGGCGAATGTAGAATGCAACAATGCAGAAACAGAAACGCTAGATCCTCGAATTCGTTGGTAATCATCGACGGTGGAGCAACCGGCGCCATTTTTCGGTTCGATCGCCGCTCGCGGAAGAGGCCATCGAAGCCCTGCGATATGAAATAACGATTATTTAATTAACCGTGGGCGCGACGCGTCGCGTCTACGCTGCATCGCGTAGCGGAGATTTAATAAATTTACGAGGAGGAGCACTTTGCGCCGCATCGATGTAACACCGTTCACCGGCCGTTCCACCTCCGCGCTCGTTCGTGTAACTCTCCCCGGCGGTAACGAAGCCACGATATTTTCTTTCCGAAAACAGCCCCGTCCGTTCGCTGCCAACTCATTCGCCACCCTTGAGAAAATTCTCCCATTTTCTTTCTCGCGAGCGAAATCTCAGGAACAGGGATTTAAGCCGAAGACGGGCGGCCGTATTTGAAAGAAATTGTATCAAACGTTGGACAGTTTTATCGTATGTGTACAGAACTGCCTAAATAAAATTATTTTCGATTCTATTTAATTCCGAGTTCAATTCGCAGAAGATACAACAGTTTCGTAGACACGATAAAAAGATGCAATTATTATCTCAATTTCTATCTTAAATCGCGCGTCGACGCAACAAAATATGGTCGTAATAATCCACGATAATTTACATGTAATAAATTAATTATATAATATTAATATATTATATAATACTAATATTATATTCATAATTATACAAAATAATTATACAGGGTGTCTCAAAAATGTCTCGCAATCCGAAAGTGGCGGTTTCCTCGGATCATTCGAAGCAACTGTTTCCTTTACAAAAATTTTCTGCGAGGCACCGTTTACGAGTTATCAACGAAAAACAGTGACCAATAAGAATCGAGTACGGCCGACGCGAGACGGCCCAGCCAATCAGCGCACGAAGCCCAGTTCCGCTCATTGGCTCCGTCGCCTCGCGCCAGTTGAGCTCGCCTCTCATTGGTGACTGTTTTTCGTTAATAACTCGTTAACGGTGCCTCGGAGAACATTTTTGTAAAGGAAAAAGTGGCTTCAAATGCTCCGAGGAACCCGCCACTTTCGGATTGCGAGACATTTTTGGGACATCCTGTAATCTACAAATTTACATAATTTGTCCGCAAAGTTCCATAATATTTGACAGTATCAGAATCGCCCCCGTTTCTTCGTCGATTCCCGTGCTTTGAAANTACAAAAATGTTCTCTGAGGCACCGTTAACGAGTTATTAACGAGAAACAGTGACCAATAAGAATCGAGTACGGCTGACGCGAGACGGCCCAGCCAATCAGCGCACGAAGCCCAGTTCCGCTCATTGGCTCCGTCGCCTCGCGCCAGTTGAGCTCGCCTCTCATTGGTGACTGTTTTTCGTTAATAACTCGTTAACGGTGCCTCGGAGAACATTTTTGTAAAGGAAAAAGTGGCTTCAAATGCTCCGAGGAACCCGCCACTTTCGGATTGCGAGACATTTTTGGGACATCCTGTAATCTACAAATTTACATAATTTGTCCGCAAAGTTCCATAATATTTGACAGTATCAGAATCGCCCCCGTTTCTTCGTCGATTCCCGTGCTTTGAAATACGGACGTGCTTTCGACAAATTGTCGGCCGAAAGTAGGACGAAATTAGTACCGCGTCGCCACATTTTTCACGGCTAGCAGCCGCCGTGTCCCGATCGATGCGCCGTTAACCGTAGATCCCGGCTCGATCGGCGATCGCCGGCCAAACGGTTCCCAGCGTCCGGATAAAATTTCACGAGCGTGATCGCCGGCGTCCGGTGAATCGACCCGATCCACGGTTCTCCATAAACTGGCAAGTGTCCGGTCCAGTTGTTCCCGCGGCCCTAAACGCATCGCCGTGGACAACGGACAGGTGGCAAACGCGTCGAACCGGGCACACGGGAGAGGGCCCGAGAGCGAGCCCCGTCGCGAATATCGCGCCGGCCGCCGATAATTCGGTAATAAACGCCTAATGGTTGACGCAACCGTAATCTCGGATACTGTTATTTGCTGGCGCGCGCGGTTTAGCGGCTTGTTTTATCGTCTGTTTGCACGGCCGCGTGTCCGCCCGGTCGACGATCACACCTGAGACTATCGTTAACGCGTCGAACGCCGCGCCGCGTCGATCGCACATGGTCGACACCGATTTTTAACCGGGCACTCGAATGTCGTTTTTATCGCGAGATATGCGGGCAAACTGATTGTTACGCGGATCTTTACGATGTAACGCGGATAAAAGCTAACGGTTGCTCAGATCATTTTTGACCATATATTTTTGGTGTTATTAATTAAATGACCTCGATGTTGCGGGAATTTTTGCGGTTGATATGTTCGGTATTTGACGCTGAAAAATTACCAAATCAGTCGACAGGAGGGGTTTCTGATTTTTTATTTTAACAAAGTTATTATTGGACCAGAGAGTTGGTGCATTTACGGCAAAATTGAGTAGCTGAAATATACAATTTTGCACAATATAAAATGTTACGCTATTTGCAACTTATTAAACTTATTAAAAGGAACAATATCTTTTCATTTAATTTCTGATTCTTGCAATCGTCTCGGAAAATTTTTACCTCGCATAAAAGTCCGCCGACTAATTATTACTTTATAAACTTCGATAAGCTGCGAACGGTTTGGATCACGTGTTCTGGTCGTCAGTGTGTTCATTATTCACTCTAGAACGGTACCACGAGTCTTGGGAAGTTTGATAGTTTCTATAAACAGCTCGATAAACGTTAGAATATCGAACCCTCTCGGGCTTCGCAACTAGTTTAACAGTTAAGAAGGCCGGAGAAGAAAAAGATCTATTCCGAACTAAATTCAAGTTGGCCGAAACCTATTCTTTGGACATAGAAGAATGCGTTTATTATTTTATCGGTAGACGACTTATCATTTTATGCATTTACGAGGAAAAAGTGAGTAGATCGAATGCGGAACAATGGGAAACATTTAAAGAATTTGTAAATACAATTGCATTGCTTTCAACTCGATAGAATAATCGAAGAACGAAAGAAATGTCCATCTTGCAAACAATTCAATCTTTATTTTCTATAAAAAACGACGGCGGTCTACTAATCAGTGTCCCATTATCTTCCAAGCTGACACCGATTTAAGCGCGCTTACACTCCTCGGACGACCCAACGTTCAACTTTCAAACGAATCGAGGGTGTAGCGCGTCCGACAAAAAAATCTAATCAAGAGTGATTAACTTGACAAAAAAAGAAAAACTCCCGGAGCTCGTCGGAGGTCTGGGTACACGGTGAAACGTGTTGACGGTCGGTCTCCGGTCGGAAGGGGCGAAGCCGCTTCGGCCGACTTATTATAACTTCGGCATCGATTATTGGGGAGAAACAGTCGCTAATTACAGAGGGGTCGAGATTAAAATTCAAAGTAGATTCACGGTCCGCGATCACAATTTTAATTAGACGGTCCTTTGTGCCCGGTGACCGGAATTCTGCTCGGTATCGACGCGGAAAAGGGGCCCGGCGGACGGAGAGGGAGCTGCGGGATGATGAGAGATAAAAAAAGAAAAAAAAAGAGGAAGTTTTCGAGGCGGTCCGCGGGTCCGAGGGACACACGGCTCGCTGGAAAGGTGACCGAGAATCAATCGGGAGGTGTCTGTCGCGAAAAAGCTCCCGGAGAATGGGAGAGGGGGAAGGGTGCAAGGGAGACGGACGGGAACGAAAATTCCGCTCAGCCGGCGAACGAGAACGGAATAAGAGAAAAGGTTCCGACACTCACCTCGGGCAGTTTGCTGATGAAGTCGTGAGCGTTCGCTTCCTTCGCGGCTTTGATCATCTCCTCCTCGGTAATGCTCTCATTTCCGTACCGGATATTCTCCCGTATCGTTGTGTCAAAGAGCACCGGCTCTTGGCCGACCACGCCTATGTGCGAGCGCAGCCACTGAACGTTCAGCCTCGATATCTCCACGCCGTCCAGCAGAACCTACGTGACCGGACCAGAGGAAATCACGTGAGAATTGGACCCGTCGATGCGCCTCGGAATCTCCGGACGATTCCGCGGCTAGTCTTTATCGACAACGCTTCCTCCCGCCATCCCCCCCATTTTTCGTGCTTCCTCGGGATTCGAGGACGTACGAAGTACTTCGAGATAGTATTATGTGCTAGCCTGGTACCGGAGAAACGACAAACATATCGTGGGTGCACTTTTAAAACTACTATTTGCAGTTTTGTTCGTCGATCCTATTCAGCATACGGTAATTTTTTCCCGGAAATGTTCGGTGGTCGGAATTGAAACCGGCAGATCCGAGAATACCGAGTCGCGATTCTTCGGGCCTGGCGGCTCGTTCTTACAGAAACTCTGGGCAGTCGGCGAAAAATAATTGTACAATAATCTGTACCGTCTAGATCAATTTGAGAAAGCCTCTACTATAATCCCCCTAAATCATTTCCAATGGAAAATATTTTTTCATTGGCAAAAGTGAATTTTCCACCTTCGATTTCTGCTCCTCGGAAACTCCGTATTCGAACGTCTCTCCAGGGTCTGAAAAATTTTTTCCACGATTCCGATTACCACGATCTTAAAGATTAGGGTCTTCTCTTTCGAACGACGTCAAATTTTTCGATCTACGATCTTGTCTTTCTTCTTTATCGCGGTCCGAAGCGACCAAGGTCGACGCTGCGGAAAATGAATTTCGACAAATTTCCGATTTTAATTTCGATCCCTGAATTTTTAATTTCTAATTTTTTTACAACGATTCGAAGGCAATTCGGAGGCCACATGCCACGATATTAAATAGGGTTAAATAGGGACCTTATAAAATTCAATAGGCGTGGGACTAGCACAGGGAAATTCACAGCAACCCGAAACTTGGCATTTCCGAGAGTAATTACTATATTTCTTAAGGTATTCCGTCTAGAAGCGTCAGTTTGTCTACAGATGTTAACTAAACACGTGGAAATAAAAATTAATCGCCTCCGATATTCCGGGTTATTATTACAAGACCACAGATTTTTATGTGAAATATAAAAATTGTTTAAGTTAACGATAAGAAGCATAAGCTGGTTGAAAGTATCTGTCCTCCTTTAATAATTACAGTAAGTTGAAACCAACGTAACAATGTCGTCGAATTCTTCTAACGACCCTAGAATATTATATTCGACCATGTTTCCCGTAAACGCACTAAATCCGCAGCCCACTTACAACCTGTTGGTAAAACACAGATAATCTTTGTATCGCGGGACTATTCACGCAGAAGCTTTTCGCGAGCGACAGCGTGTGTCGTGATTGGATTCCAGCGACGCGGAAAATCGTCGGAACGCGAGAGTCGTAAACGCGACGACACACAGTTTAGAACTTCCGACACGTAATACCATCGACGAGGATCGTCGGTGTGTTTCGCGGGGTCCGCCGACGAAGCAAAGATTGCGGAAAAGTCTGCGGCCGCGGAAAAACAGAGAAGACATCGACGGACCAGACTGTTCCGTCGGGCGGACGAGTTTCCGGTCGCGGATATCGTTTTTTTCTCGACGAAGCGACACGACGGCGCAGCGACGAGGTGGAAAACGCGAACGCGAGACGGCAGAGAAGGGTCTCGGATCTGTCGCGGACGGCCCCGAAATCAGTATACCAAATATATGGCGTAATACCTTCGGCGATGGGGAACTGCGACGGATGCGGAACGCGGGAATCGTAAAAGTTTTACTGCTGGGAAAACTCCTCGAGGCACTGTATCCCCAACGAGAGAACCGCTTCAAACTTGTTCCCCCCCGTAAAATTCCCGTGCCCGGTACAGATGTAATAATGGAATATTCGCGCCCGGGATATTGTTAAGCCCCGGGCGTAATAAATAAATTCACGGTTTACGGTCGGCCCCGAATCCGCCGGTAATTTAATCGCGCGGAAAGAAAAAAAACGGCGCGCGCGGCCGCGGGATAGAACGAAAGTTCGTTTCTGTTCGGTCGCGTCGTAAATCTCGCGCCGTCTCTTCGAGAGACGGTCAAAAAAATTGTGACTATATTCGGAAGGAGACGCGTCTCTCTCTCTCTCCCTCTCTATCTCTTGAACGCAGAGACTACGAAGCGCGGAACGGTAGAAGAGTCAGCGGAACGGAAGTTATTTTATGCGGCCCTTTTAATCCCGGGACGGCCGGCCGTCTTGCCGAAGAACGAGCGATGCATTTATGCATTTATAGCCGATAAAAGTCGTCGGACGAAGAACAGGACGGACATTTTTATAGAATTAGATATTTTATATTGTTTCCGAAGTGCCCCGGATAGCCGTCGAAGGCGGCGAGTAAACGTTCGTTTCATTTTGCTCGGGATACTTGGAACGTGAAGCTGCGAATTTACATAAAAATTCGAAGTTTGTTTACGACCCGTAAAATTTGCGGAATGCCCGCTCCGGAGGACGGTGTTTCCGGTGTCGAAATCGCGTTCCGCTTTCAACACCTCCCGAACGAGGAAGACATAGATCGACGGAATAATATGTCGAACGCGCGCGGAGATTAGGAGAATCGAGCATGATTGCTTTCTTAGCACGGTGTTCCCGTTTATCGTCGCGAGCGAACGGCGGAGCTTGCAACGCGTGCATTCCTCCGCGAACCAACAATAATATTTGCGTGCGGAATTTCCAGCGCTCGGCGGATCTTGCACAAGAGTTCCAGCGAGCCGCGGCCGCGCTATCATAATTTCCGATGATTTGGCCGGGTTGCACCCTTTCGCGATAATTTTGAATATATATAATATATATAAATAATAAAATATAATATATAATAATAAAATATAATATATAATATAATATAATATAATATAATATAATATAATATAATATAATATAATATAATATAATATAATATAATAATAAATATATATAATTTTTTTAAATATCCGCTGCGCGCAGTGGGACACTTCGGGTGGGCGAACCCGACCGAAACGAGCGCAGCTGTTTTTTTTAGCAATAATTTATCCAGTTCGACGATCGTCAAATTCCACCGATTGCGGAATAGCCCGCACGATCCGCGCTTGTTCGCTGTAACACGTGGTTAACAACTGGAGTAAATTCTCCCTAATTATCTATCAGCTTGTAAACAAAACCTCATTATTACAGATGCCGATTGCAAACGATTATAAAAATGGGGCGCAAGGCTCGAATAATCGTATCTCCTCTTCTCAATTTCTCCATCTTTGTTTGCAAGCTGTAGAAAAGTTGGTGAGAATTTACTGTTCTCTTAAAGATACTTAGCTATTAGGTCAAGTCGTAAATAGCTTCCATTGTTTTATCAGACATTTATTTTCTTTTCTCTTCATTTATTTTAGTTATTTCGAACCCTCGTGTACTCAGTGAAAGCAAAAACTGGTTCGTCCTGGTGACTCATAGGTGGGTAGATACGAACAATAGATTCTACCTAGCTGCATCAGAAGTTATTTATGGCTCGACCTCCTTTTTTTATTAAACAGTTTTCCACCTCCATAAAGAGGGTATTCTGCAAATCCAGATACATACAGTATAATAGCTACAGTCTTTGCACAAATCGTGTACCATGGGATTCTAACATAATTATACTTATTGCTAAGTTTCTCGCTACTTTAGCCCGCATTGTTTCAAGAGAGAATATAAAATAATATAAAACATAGGGGCTTCGCGGAGCATCGCGTTACGCGACCGCGACTCGACTCAAATAATTCGCGACAGTTGGCAATCGTCGCGCGCGGATGCAAATACGTCTCAATTAACTGAACAGCCTGCGACCTTTTCCGAGAGGCTAAAACTGAAGCCGGCTTCAGTTTCCTCGAGCTTCGAATCCGGGCAAATATTTTCCGCCGACAGCGGCCGCTGAAAAAAAGAAAGGGAGAAGCTATTAAACCGCGCGCAGAGCGGCTTCTTCAATGAAGAGGGCGCAGCAGCGAGGTGGTTTGTCAGGCGGCGTTCGACGTCGCCATAATTCCCGGAACAAAAACGTCGCGCGGATATTCATGACTCGGTTATTAACCCGCCTCGTTGCGTAATGTCGGCGCGGAAATACCTCGCGTTCCCGCGCCCGAATAAATCACTCGTCCCCGGTAAACAAACAGCATCGGGGAGCGCGGAACGACGAATACAAGACGGTAAATTTACCGTAACGACCGCGCACGATCGAATAAGTTAATAAACAATGTCGAACGGAGCGCCGCACCGCCGCACCGCCGCCGCGCCGCGGAACGGGAAACACGGGAGGCAGATATTTCGCGAGTTATCGCCGCCTCATTGGGACGAAAATAATAACAGGCACGACGACGCGTAATTTTGTCAAGTAAATGGGGGTAACGGGACTCCGGAAGTCTTAATAAGAAGCTAGCGCGGCTTGAATTTCGATGCCTCCGCCACTGGGCTGGTGCGGGGAATTATGTCCTTCGAGCCGAGACTTCTTCTTCTCTGGGGATGTTCTTACATTTTTATAGCGTGTTCCGAACGGGGCAGATTTCACGCGAACAAGCGCATTCTGTATTTGAGCCGTTTATTTTGAAAGTGGCATAAGTCACTTTACCGTGATGAAAAGTGGTGATTTTTAAATGTTTATACGAAATTATTTATACCGAGAAGAATATCTCAGTATCCTGAGATAACGAATACAAGTAAATCTTCTCGAAAGTTAGCATCCATATTTTGAAACGTGTTGAAACGCAGACCTTTAAATATATCGACTTAAAAACAAAGTGACTTATGCCACTTTCAAAATAAACGGCTCAATTGTGAATATTATTTCGTTCCTTTTAGTCCGAATAATATTCTGATTCCTTGTCATCGGTAAATCTTGTCGTCGTTGAGTAAATGTAGACAATATAAGTTGTCGTTTTTCTCCTTAAAAATTATTACAGTCGAAAAACTTCTGATCATTGTAACTATGAAGGAAATGGTACGGGGTTAAGGGGTTAAATTCTGTAGACAGTCTCCCTCTGCAACGTGTCTAGAAGGAGTACCTTTAGAAACATGTACCCACATAATTCTGTCGTTTCTCTAGTTCCGGGCTAGTACATAATACTACCTTGAAATATTTCGTGTGTTCTCTGAAACATTCAAAAGCACTGTAAATTGCGGAAACAATTTTCTTGCGCCAAACAAGATACTGTGCGCATTCCTCGTAGATCAGTTCGCATATTAATAGCCGGTTTACCGAAATGAGAGGTCAAAGAGACTCCTAGCTAGAGTCTACCTAACTTTAATCTACACTAAATTCTCCCTAATCGACGCTCAGATTGTACAGCAATTCTTCTCTAATACGCGCTTAGATTGTCCACTTTTGTGCGGCTCGTTTTTACAGTTGTTAATAATCACGAATAATAAGCCGCAAGGCTCGCATAATCGTATCTCCACCTCCCAGAATTGTCCTTTTTTTCGTGCGCGATCCAAGCGAATTTACTAGAGAGAATTTACCGTACTTGGATCATCTTGGAAGAAACGCGCTGTAGACGGTTTCTTCCTCCACTCACCTGTCCTTTCATGGGATCGTAGAGGCGTTGAATGAGCTGCAGACAGGTCGATTTCCCGCAACCGGAACCGCCCACGAGCGCCACTGTTTCGCCATGATTGATCTTCAGATTCAAGCCCTGCAGCACCTTCACGTCCTTCCTGGCGGGGTACTGGAAATGCACGCCCTTGAACTCTATCTCCCCGGTGACCTTCGGCAGCCTCTGGCCCTCTTTGCTGAGGCTGTCGATCGCCGGCTGCCGATCGAGCACTTGAAAAATGGCCGCGGCCGAGCCCCTGGCGACCGCGAACGCCTCCATATGAGGCGACGTCAGACCCATGTTCTGAGCACCGGCCAACACGCCGAAGAACACGATCACCAACACAGCGGGTGTATACTCCTTCTCGTCCTTGGGTCTGTCATCTAGGATCAGCTGCACGCCGTACCTGATATCGAAAAAGAAAGGGGCGCGTTAGATACCCGGTGAATTTATGAGAGCCGAGGTTAGTCGAATGCGCGCAGACAAACGGACAAGGTACCGTGAATTCTCCCTAATTTTCCTTCGACATGTGAACAAAAGACTATAAAAGTGAGCTTATAGTATCTCGTATTCCCAAATTGCCCAATTTTGCTTACAAGCTGATGGAAAATCGGGGAGAATCGTTGAACGATTTACTATAGAAATCAATCCAGATGAAATCTGACACGGTAACTAAGCAACAATTACCCGAACATTCGAGTAACACCGTTTAGCCCGAATAGTCGAAGTTCCGCTGCAGATGAGGAAGAGTATTTAGCTAAACAGGCGGAAGCTAAACAAGTTTGCAAAGAAATTATCCCTAGACACTGCGCAAGTTGCTCAACTAACCCGATGCAACCACCCTCGAGACTTGTCTCCGCCTCTCAAGGGCGTCTACTTTAAAAATATAGTTGTAACTTCGGTGAATTTATCAAGAGTTACACGTCTAATCCCCGAAGAGTACGAGAGCTGAACGAGAGCTAAAAAAGATTGGATCTCGGGGGTGCTGTGTGCTCGGAAAAGTTCTCTTTGAAATGCGGACTGAACTATTAATTCCTCGGTCATTGTATACGTAGATATCGCGCCGGAGTTAGGGGTGGTTAATAAAAACCCTCTCTGTTTCCTCGTTGCATATGAGCCGTTTATTTTGAAAGTGGCATAAGTCAGTTTGTTTTTAAGTCGATATATTTAAGGGTTTGCGTTTGAACACGTTTAAGAATATCGATGCTAACTTTCGAGAAGATTTACTTGTATTCGTTATCTCGGGATACTGATATTTTTCTCAGTATAAATAATTTCGTATAAACATTAAAAAATCACCACTTTTCATTACGGTAAAGTGACTTATGCCACTTTCAAAATAAACGGCTCATGTATTTAACTGTAAATATTTCTAGATTTTAGAGAGTACAAAATCAATTGAAACCGACGCTGATGCTCTTATTGGACTCGGCATCTTTCAATCTATTTTTTACAATATCTAATACTTTTTATCTAGCTTCTTTACAGTTTACTTTTCTAGGAAATTAGACAGGTGGAACGTTCGCGATCAAAATTGATCCAACAGCTCCGCCATTTAAAGATCAATTCTGCTTTTGGTCCTTCTGCTTTTTAACTTCTCGACGACTCGAGGTCGATCCTTGCGCACTGTCCAAGCAATTTCTACATTTATATTTATATTAGGTTGGGGAATAAGTTCGTAGCATTTTTATATTTTCTTTCATTTTACAACGAGATTTTTTGCTGTTCGACAAAGTGTTTAATATTCATTCGATACAGCTATTTTTTGCTCTACGAAACTGTGCTGATCGTCTTTCTGAGTAATTTAATTTTCTATTACTTTCGAGGCTTAGAAATGGAATATCCAGGAGGTAAAAAGCAACATTTTCGAAACACCTTCTCTTCTTCGCTTTTCATCGAGGCCAAAAAGCTGCCGAAGCAGCCCGGGACATTTGCAACATATAAAGAGAAGGTGTCATAGGCGAGTCAACAGCACGGAAATGATTTGCGAAGTACAAAAACGGCGATTTTGACGTCGACGACACGCTCCGCGGTGGAAGACCTTCCGAATTCGACGAAGAGCGTCTCGAAGCACTTTCGAAGGAGGACGGTCACCAAACGAGTCGTGGAATTGGCCGAAATAATGAACTGCGATCGTAAAACGATTCTCGATCATCTTCGTTCAATGAGATTTGTCGAAAAATTGGGAGCCTGGGTGCCTCGCGAGCTTAACGAAAACAACAAAGAAAATCGCCTTCGAATTGCTTGGTAAAAACGCTGCGAACTTATTCTCCAACCCAATACATTCTTGACACATATGAGCCGTTTATTTTGAAAGTGGCATAAGTCACTTTTTTTTTTAAATGAAAAGATACCGTTCAATTGTAATTAGCGTTATCATTAACTCGATTTTTTTTGAAAAAGTGACTTATGCCACTTTCAAAAGAAACGGCTCGTATGTCCCTAAACAGTCTCGACATAACCATATAAGCGTTAAGATGAAAATTGGCTTCGAACAACAGGGTCGAAGATCGAGCATGGTGGATGGATTTCGTACCAGAAGGCCACGGCGTAGCTGATGTAGATGATAAACCACATAACGCCGCCGCCAACTCCAGACCACATTCCACGCCGTATGCCGGTGCTCTCGGCAGGCACCAGCTTCTCCGCGTATCTGTCGACCTCCTTCTGCTCGCCGTTGAAGGCGATCACGGTCCTGATGGCGCCCAACACTTCTTCGGCGACAGTACCGGCCTGGCCGTACGCGCTCAGCTCGAGCGCGGTCAGGGAGCTCTGCACCTTCGCGACGATCGCGGTGGCTATCACGATAATTGGCGCGCAACTCAGCACCACCAGCGTCAATTTCCACCCGTAAATGAACGATATAACGATGGAGGAGATGAAGGACACCATTAGGTACGTGAACACGCCGAGCTTCTCGCCGATACCGTCCTTCATCTTGTCCAAGTCCCTGCGAAATCAAAGCGAACAGGATTTTTAGCATGTTTCGGGTCGTCCTCGCCGATTCGACAATCTTCGGGTACTGCAGATCGAATCGAACGAGATCGCTCTTAAATCCTCCGTTAATAATTAAGAGCTCCGAGTTTTGCTACTTTTAACTCTTTATCTTGCTTTAACTCGTTTTATCGCGATCGAAGCGGGGATGAACGAAAAGCGGTCTTACAGTCTACGATACTTAAGGGTTAAATTGTTATAGTCGCGGAGATGATTTTTAGAGCAAATCTTGAATGACTTATAGACCGTCGAATCAGGTTCAAACTCCATCGTTCTTCCCTTCTCTATTAATGATTAAGAGTTTCAAGTTGCTACTTTGTTGAAGAACGTTTTATCAGGTATTAACGAGATTGAAACGGGGATGAATGAAAAGTGGTCTTACGGTCTATAATACTTAAGGGTTAAATTTTTGTTAGAATAAACCTTTTCATCATTTTTAGTATATAATCTTGAATCAGCAGATAAATTTCATTATTATCTTTGGAGTCGATGAAACTGGAGTCTCAGATTAAAGGACGAACTCTCGGCAAACTTGAACGTCATTGCATTGCTATTTTATGCTTCTTCTACCATCGTTTCATACCCCATTCGTCTAAAAATACCCGAGCAATTATGAAAGATAATAGAAACTATAAAAAGTAGATAATTTGCTGATATTTGCTCTCGGAACTTTTCGGAACTGTTCGCAGCAAGCTGCATCCGAACAATCACTTTTAAAAGACGCTTCGCCAAATGAGACAAGAACTCGGCCAACGTTGATCTATTTAAATATAAATATCCAAACGAAGCATGTATGGCAATGTCTCTCTAATTGACGCTCGGATTGTCCACAAAATTGGACAATTTTTGGAAGAGGAAATACGATTATTCGAGATTTGCGGCTCGTTTTCGTAATTGTTGAAAATCGGTAACTATAAAAACGAGTCGCAAGGCTCGAATTCCCAAGGCTCCTCTTCCCAAATTGTCTTGGGTATTTTTGTAGACAATCCGAGCGTCAATTAGGGAGACATTACTGTGCTTTGCTACGAAATGCTCGTTTCTCGCGTCGCATTCTACGACCGCGTGGACCGATCATACGATCTCACTTTTTCCCGCGTTAGAGCGTTAGAGCACACACACGTCGGGATCACGCCGAGGCCTTCTGGCATTTTCTGCACGTCCACGGACGCAATTAGAAGCTATTCCTACAACTTCCTGCCAGTTCTATCGAAAGTTGCCGCGGCCGAAAATAACGCGGGCCGAGGGCAGCCATTCAGCGGATTAATTAACGTTCGCGTTATCTTCTGGGCCGTGCTCGGGTCACCTTGACATCACGCCACGCTCCTCGAATTAGAAACCCCGCGTTCGATTACGAACCTGAAGATTCGTCCGACGACGCTCGCGTCGATTCGGTTTCGATATCGCGGAGCCAAAGTCTTCCGGTGATTTAACCGTCGCATAACGCGGAACGGAACCGGAACGCGGCGTTCGCTGTTTTCGTTCCGACAAACGGGTCCCACTTATCCGCGCTGATTATGCGAATGTCAAGGCGGGAGCGTCTCGCGAGCCCTGTTCGTCTGTCGAACGATTCGATTTTGTAAAAGGTTTCTGCTCTTCGATCTGCGAACATCCCTTGAACCGTTCGATCGAAACGGATTTCCAAGAACTCGATCGAACCAGTCGAAATGACTGGTTTCCGATTTTTTTTTCTATAACAATTCCCGATGCTATGAAAATGTTCCTGCGAAGAATTTTGGGATGAACTTTAGTTGCATTTAAAGTTGCATTTAGGGCTTGGTTCCAGTGTTAACCATAGTATTATATCCTCGACAGTGATCTTTCCGTACTTGAATCATTTTTTACTCAACGAAAATCGGGTGAATTTTCTGTGTCATTCATCCGTTGCGTATTTGAACGCTTCGTTAAAATCATCACCACGTGAAATACCAAAGGGAAGAGTTAAAAAACACGTGTTCCAATTACACTCCTCTTAATTCTTACCAGACCGAATTCTTCGCAGATCGAATGCAAGACGACAGAATCATTTCGAGCATTTCAACATGCTGTCACAGTGTTCTCGAATCTCGCGGTTGACTCGGGAAATTTTCATTTTACGTGAAAATAATTACAGCTAATTTCAAGCAGTCGAAATTGTCGAAATCCCCGCGGATGCCTGATCGTAGCGAACGAATAGCGAGCCGAAAGGATAATAGCGGCGCTCGAAACGCGATACGATGGTCGCCGCCGTTCATAGAAAAGTTCGTAACCGAACGGTAGGATCGACCTTTGGTCCTGTTAGGAGTGATTTGATCGAGCGATCAATTGAATTATTGAACTCCGCGTCTCTCATTGACTTCCAATAAAGACGTCGTCGCGGTGAAAGACGGCTTTCTGACGCGGCGGCCAACGATCCTGCGCGACGATCGAGATTGCATTAAGAAATCATGACGGGAGGAGAGGGGAGAGGGGAGGAGAAAGGGGATCACAGTCAGCATTTTCACGGCTACGTTCATTAATGGGTCGTGCGAACCTTTAATTCGCGCGGCGCGGTGTCAGGTTCATAAAACTTTGCCGCGCGGGCCGCAGTGGCGCAAATAAAATTTACGTAATTGCCATTATAAATGCACGCGGGTCGCCGGTTGCGAGCCAAAACGTTTCTAATGCCAGACGATCCGCTAGCAGCCTGATATACATATTCCGCGATGCTATTTACGGCCGCCTTTTATTGTCTCTCTCTACCAGGTGATCGAAGGTGACGCGAGTCGCGCCGCCTCTGCACGCTTTGGTTCCGGCATGGGAAAACGACGGCCGACGGATTCACCGTCGCGACGGACGCGAACGTTTCAGACGTCCAGACTGCTTGTGAACACCGTCGGACGTCGTTACAGTAAATTCTCCCTAATTTTCCTACATAGGACAATTTGGGAATTCGAGTCTTGCATCTCGTTTTTTTTTTTTATAATTGCTGGCGACCGGCAACCATAAAAATGAGCCGCGGGACTCGAATAATAATTTCTATAAATTAGGGAGAATTTACTGCACGATGTATGTAATACAGCTAATTACACGCAGTAATTAACCCAGAGTTACGAACGGTCCATTCGAATTCTAATTATGCGGCAGTCATATGTAATTATTAATTATTAATATCGAATATAAATAATAATACTTAATATTAAGTATTAATTATAATATGTATATATATAATATTATTTTATATTAATTAATACTTAATACTTAAAATTATATATATAAATTATATATATAAATAATTTTAAGTATTAAGTATTAATTAATATAAAATAATATTAACTTTAATAAATAATAATACTTAATAATTGACACTTTGGTGTCACCGAAGAAGTCATGATGATATACAAATGAAAATGAATCGATTCGAACGGATCTCGTCTAGCCGTGGCTGCCATAAATTCTCAAAAATGTCCGCCGTCCGAAGACTAAATTGAGAAATCGACAAAAGCCGTACCAAAGGGTCGATAGAAACGAAGCCGACCAACGGTTCCAACGAACCGCGGGTACGTTTCGGTCACCCGGTGTGCAAAGCACGCGCGACAATTCGCGCGGAAGCTCCGTTGTATCTTGTTGTACCATGAAAACCGGTGTTTTCAGCCGGCCGGTTGGTTAGTCAATCCCCAAGCTTCTGATTCGATTTCGCAATTACGATTTATTAACGCTTGTGCAACCCGGTTCATTGTAGCAGGGCCGGATGGTCTCGGAATAAACGGGGTTGCGTAAGTGGGACGTCCCCAGCCGCGTCTTAATTAGCCGGTTATGAATCCCGCCTTCTTGACTTTTCGATAATTACGCGGGTCGGCGCGACCACGAGCAGCCGGATAAGAGAGAAAGGTGGAAAGAGACGAAGGGAGAGAGCGGGAGAGAGAGAGAGAGAGAGAGAGAAAGAGAGAGATTGTATCGGGCGAGGAGAGGAGAGGCTCGCGGAGAACGACCACCTGTTGATCGCGATCCCGTTCACTGAAGTTTGCCCGCCACCGCTTCTCTTCAGCCTCCCCCAGCCTGCCAGCCCCGCGTTTACACCCGCGCAGACCTCGTGATCGAACACACGATATACCACCCTCGAGGGTGGCTTCGAAGCCGGATCACCGGATCCTGCGAAAATACGGCTACTTAACTAGCTTTCGTCGACGCCGGTGACGAGTCGTCCTCGGTTCGCTAAACTTTGCCTCTCTGAACCTTGAAACGGACTAAGAATCGCCGTTAACGTGTTGCGATTACCGCGATTGCGTGAATTATCTCGGGGCGAAGATCAGGGAAACGTGTCTTACCACGGAACAAGCATTTGTTTCGCTGAAAAAGTGTCGATCCACGTTTTCGCTCCGGGAAAACGTGGATCCCGGATATAATTTAATATATTATATTATATATATATAAAATTTAGTGTTTATATAATTTAAATAAACCAATTTCGCCGAGGTCTCGGGAACAGGCGAGTTCCGTTCGGCGAATGATACTCACTCGGTAATCCTGCTAGCGAAGTTAGTGGACGTGTTGATGTCGTACCACGTCATGTCCTGTCTGAGGACGGCTCGCAGGAACATTTGCCGCACCCTCACAATTTGACGGGAAGCCGCGACATTCAGGAAGTCCACGGTGAACACGGCGAAGACGAACTGAAGGCAGGACAGTGCCGCCGAGGACACGCCGAAAGCTACCGAATCATCGTAGAGTGCGGCCAATCGTTCCTTTTGCGTCGCGTTAGGTCCCCTGCAACCGAAAATGCCGCGAATCGTTTATAATATTCTGTCATATAATGATATCGTAAAAATAATTGAATTTATAAAAAATATTATAATATTATAATATTATATACTATAATAACATTATATAATAATAATATTATAATAATATAATATTGTAATAATAATATTATAATACTATAATACTATANACGTGTTGATGTCGTACCACGTCATGTCCTGTCTGAGGACGGCTCGCAGGAACATTTGCCGCACCCTCACAATTTGACGGGAAGCCGCGACATTCAGGAAGTCCACGGTGAACACGGCGAAGACGAACTGAAGGCAGGACAGTGCCGCCGAGGACACGCCGAAAGCTACCGAATCATCGTAGAGTGCGGCCAATCGTTCCTTTTGCGTCGCGTTAGGTCCCCTGCAACCGAAAATGCCGCGAATCGTTTATAATATTCTGTCATATAATGATATCGTAAAAATAATTGAATTTATAAAAAATATTATAATATTATAATATTATATACTATAATAACATTATATAATAATAATATTATAATAATATAATATTGTAATAATAATACTATAATACTATAATACTATAATACTATAAATCTCTCGAATAATCGTGTCTCCTCGATTATTAATAAATATATTATTATAATATATAATAATATAATATAATAATATAATATTATAATATATTATAATATAATTATATTATATTATTATAATATTATAACAATATATTATAATACTATAATACTATAAATCTCTCGAATAATCGTGTCTCCTCGATTATTAATAAATATATTATTATAATATATAATAATATAATATAATAATATAATATTATAATATATTATAATATAATTATATTATATTATTATAATATTATAACAATATATTATAATACTATAATACTATAAATCTCTCGAATAATCGTGTCTCCTCGATTAGGGAGAAATTACTGTGATTCTAATCGCGAAAGTTGCAAGATTTCGGTGAAGAGAAATGTCAAGATTCCTATTAATAATCGAATTCTTCTCCTTGGTACAGGCGAACGTTCCAAAGAGTTGCAGACTACATACATCTTTGAAAAGTATGAAACATAATGGTAGCATATGCGCGCATACTTACAGGACCTTCCCTCCCCCGAACCACTCCATGATGAGGGTCGGTGTACTAGTGATATTCTCCATGTTACGATCCACCAACAGCGTGGTGAATTCACCGTACTGGATCGTTGAGATGGGGATGCAGAGGCCTGTCAGGGTTCCCATGATCAGGCCACCGAAGACCAGCATCAGCTCCCCGCATGTTGCAAATCGAAACTGCGAATTTCAATCGCGCGTTTCGCGTGAGAATCGCTCGATCACCATTTCGCGTTTTTCACAATTTCGCAAATTCGTCGGTTCGCGTTTCACGGATTACACCGCGAGGGTCGCTTCGAAGCGCCGTAACTTCGCGAAAAAAAATCGCAGCAACGTTTCGTTTTTTTTCAATTAAAGGGGAAGAGCGAAACTTTATTCGGCTGCGAACGGCATTCCCGAGAAAAATTTGTCAAAGGCCGTGCATTTCGCCAAACTTGGCGAACATCGAAATGTTCGATACGACGACCGTGGCCCTCGCGTTTAAATTGTTACAGTGGCGAGGATACGTCGAATTTAAAATGCAAAAACATGGTCTTAAAGTAGAGGTTTCGAGCTATAATTTAAAATAAGGGTGAACGTCCTACGATGATTTCTCGCGGAGTTATCGTCGTTCAAAGTTGGTCAATTTCTGTCCAAAAATTGTCATAATTTCTTTTTAGCAGTATACAATGGTTTTTGACTCCGGCAAACGAAAAAACGGCTTTTAATAGAGTCAAAGTCTCGTGCAGCGACAGTCGTTCGAAAAGAGGCACGATTTTTCAACGTTCGGGTCGAGGTGTTCCCGAGATTGTTAACCGGGCGCGTGGGCCTTAACGAGGGTCGCCCTATCGATACCGCGTTCCGAGACGTTCGCCTCGGCAATTTGTCGCGTGCCGGTCGAAAATTTCAGAAACATATTCTCCGATGATTCAATGCGGCGAGCTTCCGTTTTTCCGGGAGATTTGACCGGGGAAATTAATGTCGGTCCGGCCTCGATGATTAACGAGCGGCTCGTACGGTTCGAAACAAAAACAGGCTCCCCGATCGATCGACGGCCGACCGTGTTCGTCGTGGTCGGAGACAAAGGGATCCGTGGGTGCCCCCGCGAAAAAAACTTACGAGTTTGAAGTAAGGCACTGGCGGCAGCGTAGGTTCCGGCGCGACCGGTTTGTCGTCCTCCTTCGTTTGCGGTGGCACGAACTCACTGTGGACAGAGATCATTTCGTACGCTCGATTAAGATCGCCCTTCGCACCAATTAACATCCTTGCGCGGCAAGAAAATCGTGCGAATGGAGCATTTGCTCTCTGAGTGGATACAGAGATCTCTGTCGAAGAGCACTTCCGGCGCATCGGCGACCTCGTTACCGAAATATTTCGTCGGATCGAAATACGAAATTCGCTCGGAATTCTTGAGCGTTGATGAATCATTGCCATAAAGAGTTAAACATGGCGGATGAAAAGAATAAATCGACATTAAGAAACGAAGTCGGCACGCTACGCGACATTTTCTTTTCTGCTTTGAAACGTGCAAAGATTCCGAGGAGACGCCGAAATCACGTTTTTCACGTCGGATAAAAAATTCGCGCAAGAAATAACATTCTAAACCCGTTTCTAGATCGAACAACGAATTCGAAGAATAATTAATCGAATCGAAAGCTATCGGCATTCCGGAAGTGCTCCAGCAACTGTACAATTGTGTGAATAGGATAAAAGAAAGTGTTTATAAGTTGATACGATTGGTTCCAGTCTCTAGGACGAGGATTCGCTCAACAATTCCCACATATTTTTAACGAGAATCCTGATTCGGTACTGGGACTTTTGCGCTTCTATTTCTCAATTATTATTTAAACATTCGTCTGTAAGGAATCTTATTCGTACATCGGTTTGCCATTCTCTTGTAGCATATACTCAGTTTCCTCTTTATCCTTCTCCGCGTCTTGGAGCGTGTCTGAAATGAAATATAGATGGTACCGTAACACAGAACATCCTGCAGACAATTGTTTTGCGTGCGCCGCGTCGGGCGCACCGTTAACCTTTCCCGGTCCCATGCCGAGCCTGGCTCGACGTTCGATTATGTTCTTGTCACTAGACTAGACGGTGCATCTTCACGTATTCATCAGCCATGCGCTTGTTAACCAAGCGCATCGAAACATACGTGTCGCAGTCGAATAGGATTGTTGTAGCTTCCTCAGAATTTGAAATTGCAGCATTTAAGCCATTGAGAATTACAGTATTTAAGCCATTGAGAATTGCAATATATAATCCGTTAAGAATTGTAATATTTAAATCATTGAGAATTGCAATATTTAAGCCATTGAGAATTGCAATATTTAACCATTGAGAATTGAAATGCTTGATCTATCAAGAATTGCAGTATTTAAGCCATTGAGAATTGCAATATATAATCCATTAAGAATTGTAATATTTAAGTTATTGAGAATTGCAATATTTAAGCCATTGAGAATTGCAATATTTAACCATTGAGAATTGCAATACTTGATCCATCAAGAATTGCAGTATTTAAGCCATTGAGAATTGCATTACATAATCCATTATAAGAGTTGTAATATTTAATCTATCGAAAACTGCAATATTTAAGTCATCAAGAATTGCAGTATTTAAGCCATTGAGAATTGCAATATATAATCCATTAAGAATTGTAATATTCAAGTTATTGAGAATTGCAATATTTAACCATTGAGAATTGCAATACTTGTTCCATCAAGAATTGCAATATATAATCCATTAAGAATTGTAATATTTAATCCATCGAGAACTGCAATATTTAAGTCATCAAGAATTGCAATATATAATCCATTAAGAATTGTAATATTTAATCCATCGAGAACTGCAATATTTAAGTCATCAAGAATTGCAATATATAATCCATTAAGAATTGTAATATTTAATCCATCGAGAACTGCAATATTTAAGTCATCAAGAATTGCAATATATAATCCATTAAGAATTGTAATATTTAATCTATCGAGAGAACTGCAATATTCAAGTCATCAAGAGTTGCAATATATAATCCATTAAGAATTGTAATATTTAATCTATCGAGAACTGCAATATTTAATCGATCAATAATCGCAGTACAAAAGCCATTAGAAAATGCAACATTTAATGGATCAAGTCGGGTCGCAAATGATTTCCATTTAGGTTCATGACTTTCACATTTTGTTGAAGATGCACGATCTACTCGTTGCAATGCGTGTCACAGATTCACGTTTAAACTGCGGACTTCATGCGAAGAACCAAATTTATCCGAGTGACTTGTCAGAAATAGAAACGAAGTGAAAATATAGTTTATATATATATAGTTTATATATAACGTGCTCAAAATTTTTCATTTTACTCCCTTCATTTTTATCGCAGACGCATCAAATCCGCAGTTTTCAGCTTGTGGACAAAAATGGACAATTTCAGAAGAAGGTGCAAGGCTCGAATAATCTAATCGAATAAATCCTCCCCGAATTGTCCATTTTTCTCTACCAGCTGAGGGAAAAATCGGACAGAATTTACCGTAATATCTCATGAAAATAGAATCAATCGATAACGTATCGATCGACGTCGACGCAAGTTTTGGAACGGACGACCGGAAACATTCGAACCGCGACGGATCGGAGATAGAAATTAATGTTCCGTTCTCGTCGGAGCGACGTCCTCGATCAATTATATCGTGAACGTGGACGATCGACGTCGCATCGTCGCTCAGGAATTACTCGAAATCGGCCGGAATCGCAACTGCGCGCCGACGATTTCGGTTCTCGACACGTGTCGCTGGATCGTTAAAATCATGCCTGGGAAACAGAGTTGTGACTCGCCGGTTTAACGAAGGCTCGCGATCGTTTTCTTAAACAAACGCGTGTGCTGCTCGCGCGGCGTCGATAACGATCCCGCCGGTCTTACGAAATTCGTCGACGATTCCGCGAAACCGTCAGAACACCGAGGATGCGACCGCGTGATCGTTCGTTGCATCGTGACGCCGACGATTTCGTGGAACCAACTGGGAATCATGATTGCGTATCGCGATCGCGGAGCACAATTTGATAAGAGATTAAAATTAGATGCGGGTTTAGAAACGATTCGCGGAATCTTGTCTGCTCCGTATCGATTTAGGTAATCGAAACAATCCGGCGAGAGTGTGCGTGAGAAGAACACGTACGTGAGTCGCGAGCAGATACCGGCTGATTACATGCGCTTATTGTTTCAAAAATGTATTGTTTCGGAGCATCTCTCGATACTCGAATTTCGACTCTTATCTTGCGCCGTTTCTATAGAAAACGATGATCTGGTACAACAAGTAATAATACAGTGTGTCCGAAAATTATGGTACGTCCGGGAAGCGAGAGGTTCCTGAGGCGATTCGAAGCAACTTTTTCCTCGGCGAAAATGCAATCCGCGGCTTCGTTTGCGAGTTATTAACGGAAAACCAGTGACCAATGAGAGGCGAGGGGCTGGCGCGAGACGGCCGAGCGGCCAATCAGCGGAACTGGGCTTCGCGCGCTCGTTGGCTGGCCCGCCGAGCTCGCCTCTCATTGGTCGCTGTTTTTCGCTAATAACTCGTAAACGAAGCCACGGATTGCATTTTCGCCGAGGAAAAAGTTACTTGGAATGACCTCGGGAACCCCCCATTTCCGGTTTTCGAGACATTTTTGGAACACACGGCATTTATGCTCGCGGCAGACGACGGAGAGAAACATAACAACGACACCAACGCCGACCGAGAACGACGCCAGAAATAGAACGCGCAAATATCGACGCAGGCTGGTTCGATTAACCCTTTGAATGGTGTGACCGGATTCGAGTGTGCCAGATTGAGCGCGTGCCAGACAGGGTGCGGCTGTGCGTACCTACGCGTTCCCGTACTATTTTTGCGCGTGGCACCTGTCATTCGCCGTTAGCATTTTCGCGAGAATGCTAAACGCCGAAATTCCTTCGCCCATCGATCAAGGAACCCCGAGCCGACGCGCCGGCACCGAAGCGATCGCGATCGTCGAAAAATACGCATACGCGGGTCGCTAAAAATATTTCGCGAAGCGTGTACTACCAATTATCTCTCGAAATTCCATACGTCAGACACCTAAATCGCCTTATCTCGTTCGCGTTAATTAAAGAAACATTTCTGCTCGATAAACTCCGGGAATTCACAAATTGCATATCAGATAATTAAAAAATAATCAGACAAGCGTGCAGATAAATAATAATTCCGTCAATTTTTCTCTGTTGATAAATACATAATCGTTGTTGACGTGTTGCATAACGGTGTTACGATCCGGCGAAACGTAATTTCTGTTGCTCGCAGCGAAACTGCGGATTCGCGACGGATTCTGCACCGCGGAAAGCGGAGAAATAAAGTAATTGGATTCGGAGCGGCACCGGGGGACGGGCTCGATTTATAGGGCGTAATTAGTTCATGCTGCCGCTAATACTATTAGTATTATTAATATAATAATGTTAATATATAATAATAATAATATAATGTTACAATTAATATTATTAATATGATAATATTAATATATATAATAATAATATAATATTATAATTAATATTATTTTTTAATATAACAATATTATTATATATATGCAATGGTTCAATTTATTGAATCGATCGGGAAGTTGGTGTCGCTTTTATACAATAACGTTTTTAGATTATTTATTTTTATTATTATTATTATTATTATTATTATTTTTATAACGAAAATGGTGTTAATTTCCCGATTAAACAGAAACTCGATTTAAAGAAATCATCGAACGAGTTTCCGTTTAATCGGGAAATTAAGACAATTTTCATTATAAAAATAATAATAATAATAATAATAATAATAATAA